GAGAGCATTTCTCGGGGGAACAGATTCGGCTGCTGGTGCAGCTGGAGCGCATAGGAGGCAGCATCAGCCTGGTCGCGGTTGTTTGCATCTTTCTTGCGTATACTCTGTTTCCAAAGGTGCGCAATGTGCAAAACACATTCATCGTCTTTGCGAGCGTGTCGAATGCGGGCGCGAGCGTGGGAAGCATCATTGCCTTTGATGGACTTAGATCGGGCACGACCTCGGCGCTATGCAAGGCGCAGAGCTTCTTGTTTGAAATGTAAAGTTTCGTCCAAACTTTGTTGAATGACTCGTTTTCTTTTTTTTTTTTTTTTTTTTTGATAGTTTCTGACCTCTTTTGCATTTAGGTTCATGCAGTCTGACCCTTGGTGGTCCTTGGCCATGGCCATCAACGTCTTGCTCGTCTTTTACTTTCGCGCCACTCCGGACTCGTTTGCCCGTTGGTGGTGGGTGTACTGCCTAATCTGCTATGGAGGGCCATTTGTCATTGCCATTTCACTGTTGCTTGCCAAGACTGGCAACAATATACCGGTATATGGTGAAGCAACAGTAAGTCTTGTTCTTGTCCCCCGACTGTGGGCTTGTCAGTTCTAATCCGACGTGACTTAGATTTGGTGCTGGGTCGACAGACAGTGGGACTACATTCGAATCTATACATATTACATGCTGATATGGATTTGTATTGTCGGCTCCCTGGTCTGCTACCTTTTGGTCGGGTACCATGTCTTTCGGTCCCGAGACAGGCTTCGCAGCCTAACAGCCTCGACTAGTCGAGATCCAGCTATTCTTGACTTGGTGTGTATTGGAATACCAAAATAATGTGACAATACTAACAAATTCAGACACGCAATGACGAGAATGATGGGTGCTATGGAACTGTCGTTACCGAAGTGCAAGTGACTTCATGCGCCGGCACACCTCAACCGCCGCCAAGATCAGCACAACGACCACACTCAGCCGACATTGAAAGCCAGCGCCCAACGCAGAGTGTTTTTGAGCATTCGCCGACACATGTGCCGCCTGGCTTTGTTCAGTACTTTTCTTCTGTCGAGTCGCCGAGTCAAAGCGGTCGCCAGGCACAGCAATCGCCGCTCAAGAGGGCAATGGCATCAGTCAAGAGCGTCTGCCGACAGTTTACCGTGGCCGACCCTGTCAAGCGGGCATACTTGAGAACCAGCTTTCTTTTTGCCATAAGCGTCCTCGTCACCTGGATCCCGAGCAGCATGAACCGCATCCACAGCTGGATTGCCGGCCAGTCTCCCTATCAGTTTCACGTGGCCACGGCAGCGGTTCTCCCCCTGCAAGGCCTGTGGAACGCCATCATCTTTTTCGTCACGAGCTGGAACGTCTTTCAGCGACATCGCCGAAACACGGCTGCTTCTGCGGCGGCGGCAGAGGCGATTGACAGACTGCGCCAAGACAGCGCCAACCGCAACAACAACAACAGTGGCAGCAGGGCTAGCAATGGTGATGTTGGGCGATACGGAAGCTGCCGCAGTGAGACTGACCTAGGCGACGCGGATTCCCGGACAATCAGTAGTGATGTTGAGCTGCAGCGGCGATGGAAATCGCAGGGTTCGAGCACGCCCCCTATGGCATGGAAATGAAAAAAAAAAAAGCCCAAATGGTTGTATAGTGAGTGGGTTACGATATTGTCAATACATGATGAAGATTTTTTTGTACAAAATAGTCAGATATTTAGTATGAGTATATGAGCAGTCAGAGTCACGAATGCATTGATTTAGTTATTGATGATTTTTTTTTCAACATTAGATTGAAGTTGCAGTAGTTTGTGACAGCTGCATGTCAAAGCTAAGCTGAAATCTAGTTTACACATTGCTCTCAAAGAACAAGAAATGAGACAAGAGTCAGTCTCCATGCGAAAGATGGTGAAGTAGAGGTCGGGATAGCGCGGGAGGGAATATATATGTCGTGTGCGTCATGAAAGGAGTGTAAGCGTTGGGTATCACACGTCATAAAAAATAAATCATATAAGGAGCGTAAAAGTGTGCGCAGTGCGCATCATAACCTCGTCAAAAGAGCGTGTGAGTCGTGCTCTAGGCACGTGAAAAAAAAAAAAAAACACAAAAAAGGGAACTGCCGTCTGAGTAAGGGAAATAAAGCAAATAAGAGAAAAAGGGGGATAATACCAAGGGTGAAAAGGGAAAAAAAAAAAAGGTAAAGAAAGAAACTTTTGAAGGCCGAAACGCCAGAAAGACGGAATAGTCGGGGGAACTGGGGGTAAAAACGTTGATTCCCTGCCAGAGGTATGTGGTAATGAAGCGTAAGAAGGGGGCAGTGTGAAGAGCAAAAGGGGAGGTTTGCTTTTAGTCCGTGTCAAAGAAGCTAGCCGCGAGCTTCAAGCTGCTCAGGTCGACCAAGCCCATGACTTTGCCGTCGGCACGCCATATCGCCTCGTCAAAGTAGCAGCGCAGCGCGACAATGACGGCCGAAACGACGACTTGGGCGACACCCAGGCCGAGCGCCATGGCCTTGAGCCCGCCCGCGTGGTGGTGGTGGTGGTGCGCGACGATGGCAGCAGGCACGGCCAGTGTAAAGACGCCCGCGGCGAGGTTGCGCAGCACAATGACGCCCGTGTGCATGTCGCCGATGCTGCGCAGCGCCATGGCCATGTTGGAAGACGTAAACGAGGCCGACCGCGCGAGCGTCGGGCGGGTCGCCGCGTCGAGGACGGCGGTGCCGGCGGCGAGAATGGCGAGCTGAAAGGAAAGGAGGGGAAAGCTGAGCTGGCCGGCGCCGTCGACGGAAAAGAGCGAAGCGGCGGCGGGGTGCGGTGGTGATGATGCTGATGCTGGGGGCCGCATAAAGTTGTCGAGGCCGAGACCAAAGGACAAGATGCCAATCAGAGCGAGCGAAGAGCCGCCGCAGACGACGAGACAGTTGGCCAACTGCGTAAACTGCAGGTGCACGCCGCGATACAGCGCCAGCGCGGCCACAATGACGGTAGGCACGATCCACGGGCCCGTCATGAGCGTGCCGAGCGCCGCCGGCTCCGCACCGACCGGCTGCGGCGCGAGCAGCAGCGCCAGCGAGCCGCACAGGCCCCAGAGCGCGGACCCGGGCAGGACGCCGAGCAAGAAGACGAGGACCGTGGTGGGCGCGACAAGAGCGCGCGGCACCTGCAGCAGCAGGACGGTGGTGGACGTGGCGCCGCCGCCGCCGCATGGCGACGACCTGGAAAAGGTCAGCGGCCGCATGGAGCGCAGGTACGCGAGGACGCGGGGCCCGGTGAGGCGGTGCCTGGCGCGCCAGGGCTGCCAGCAGCGGCGGCGGTGCGAAGAGATCGTGAAGCCGGAGACGGGGGTCGAGGGCGCGGTGGCGGCGGCGGCGCGTGAGCGGTCAAAGGCCGTTTCGGGCGCGGCGAGGCAGATGAGCGGCATGGCGACGAGCATAAAGAGCCCGCTGATCGGGCGAAACTGGTACAGGATGGCGTCGGAGCGGTGCGTGGCGGAGATGGCGCCGCCGATGAGGGGTGTGCCCCATGTAGCGGCAATGTTGACAATGTTGTAGAGCGTCACGCGGAGATTACGCTGATGCTCCTGGTTGTGACATTGGGTGTTAGCTAAGCTGTTATCTTGGGGGGATGGGGCAATGGGAGAGAGAGGCAGGAAAGGATGGGAAAAAGGGGGAGGAGAGCTTTACAAAGTAGGTGTCTTGGATGGACGTCATGACGAGCGTGTCAAAGACGCCCCAGCCAAGCCCCTGCAGCAGACGCGCGCCCATGCAGGACCCGTAGCTGCCGACGGCGGTCGCGTTCCAGATGGATCCGACAAGGAGCGCGGCGGTGGCGAGTAAGTAGACGGGACGGCGGCCGTAGATGCGGGCGACGACGCAGGCGCCGGCGCCGGAGACGGCAGAGAGCATGAGGGGCACGCCGGTGAGGGCGGCGATGGCGAGGTACGAGGTGCGGTAGTGCTCAGCGGCGAGGGCGCTGGTGGTGAGGAAGATGGTCTTGAGGGCGCCGACGAGGCCGACGACGGAGACGAGGGCGGCGAGGTTGACGTCTTTTTTCCATTGTGGCCAGTTCTGGAAAATCCCAAAGTTTTTTTTGTGTAAGTCAAAAGATTCTCTTGATATCGGAGGCCCAAGTTCTCAAAATGGAGGGGACACTTTTGAAGGCGAAAGTTGTCAAGATAAAAAGGTGAAGGGAAGAATACAAGTTCTTACCAGTGGATCGTCAGCATCATCGCTGGGTTGCGGCATGAGCTCGACGTCGGCGTACTTGCCCTTTCCATACTTGATGCTCTTTTGCGTCGAGCAAGTGTCTACGGAAAACTTTCGCGTGTGGCGGCTGCTGCTGGGGGAGCCGGGCAGCGTACTGCTCGCGTTGCTGTTGGCGTATCCGGGCATCGCCGCACCAGCGCCGGGCATCGGGGAGTCTTGGTGGTGGTGGGCTCGCGACCACGGAGAGTGAACCCGTTCGGGAACGGCGACCCCAAAAAGGCCACTATTATTATTACCACTCTGACTCGCCTCCATCATCATCACGGCGCGCTCTGTAAATGTGTTGTAAGTGCGCCTGATGTAACAGGGAGTCACGAGAACTGCCGTATGCAAGAGGAAAGTAGAAGAGGAAGAAGAATAAGAAGGAAGGAAGGAATCGTACTATAAACGACTGCTGAGAAGGAAAAGAGGGAAGCAGAGCGTGTCTAAAAAAAGGACGCGGATTTCTGTGCCTGGCAGCTAGGCAGGCCCAACGTACTGACTGGGTTAGGTTCTGGGCAAGGTGAGAGAGGGGGCTGGCAAGCAAGGGTTGAGCCTTTTTTTCCCTCTACTTTTTGCCCTGTCCTTTTCTCAGCGGCTCAGACGCGCAAAGGAAGGAGGGGGAGGAAAGCAATGCGGGACGCCGGAGGCTTGCAGCTGTGTGCAGAGAGGTGTATGCTGGGTGACAGGTCTTGGAATATTGCATGCATCCGAGAGAGAGAGAGGCCTGGACGTGCATTAGCCTAGGATTGAGGACCCGGAAAAGAAAGTAAAAGCAAGATCGAAGAGGGGAAGAAGGGAAGAAGAGAGAGAAGGGGAAAAAAAAAAGAAAAGAAAAGAAAGGAACAAGTACAAGACGAAAAGAAAAGAAAAGCAGAAAAGACTGGACTGGAAACCGTGGTACCGTGGAGGTGAGTTCGGCGTAGGACACGGCACAAAAAGTTGTGAGACACGCAAACTCTGTGCAAGAAAAATCGAGCAAAACTTTTTTTCTGTGTGACTCATGAATTCTCATCCGAGCAGCGCGCGATTGCGTCTTTAATTGTTTATACAGAAAACCGATTTGGGTTGTTGTCGTTTTTTCTTGACGCGAACAAGGCACGAAAGAAGACAATGAATGCCGATTCCATGCACCAAAAAACGTTCCGTCACCTGCAAGCTGCACACACAAAGGGGGCGAGCGAGCAACATTTGGCTCCCGGGCCAAAACTGGGGAATGAGAGCCCAACAATAGAGTGGGCGTAAGTGGCTTGCTTCCATCACAGAAAATAGAAAAGCTTTTGGACCGCGCGGTGCCCTATGCGTATCAGTAGAACGTTGTGCTACACCCTCAAGCTTGGCAGGTTCCCTCTCGTCTTGAGAGAGGGGAGGGGGGGCAAGGGAGGACAGACGATCGTGTCGAACACGCAGGGTGAAACATTGACAATGGGTGACGGAGACGAGACTTGCTCTCTGGTCTGGCTGTGGGTAATACGTGCTCTGGCTGTGGGGAATTCGCACAAGTATTACAAGTATTTCGACGAGAATGGGCAAGGGGGAAAAAGGGTATGGAATAGTAGGTTACTGCATTTCTTCTTGATTTTAATCAAGGGGGGTCGTGACGAGGCCAAAGGGAGGATGAGGGGGTTAAAAAGGTGGACAAAAAAAAAAAAAAGCAATCAAGTATACAAAGGGAATAGTAACTTTGGAATATGGTGGAGTGGTTGGCTAAATCGGTATTTTCGTCTCAAGACGGATCGCCAACAAAGAAACACAACACCCCCCCCCCAAAAAAAGAGCGAAAATAGACATGCAAGTTAGCTTAACAGACTTATGATGCCGCAACTGCCCTTGTCTTGGCCAAGGTGATGGTTTGCCATGCAAGGGGAGGCTTAACTTGTTCTAGTTGCGAACCGTTTCTCATACGAAAAGAAAAAAAGAAAGAAAATACCCACGAGTTGGTCTTTTTTTAAAGCGTGTTCGATCCGGCTATAACTGAAAACCGGCGGCTGTGACTTTTCTTCTTCTTCTTCGCGATAGGTAGGTATAGAGTGTCTTGGTGCCACGACTGGCCCGCGCCAGACGCACAGAGCTGGGACCCAACCAGAATGTCGGGTTGGACGCCGATCATAGCCTTTCCCGTTGGAGCAGGCTCGGTACGTACGGGGTCGGCAGTGTCTTTTCGGCACTTGCCATCCCTTGCACGCGCGCTGCATATACGCAGTCTGGCTGAAAAGACGATAGATGGGCACACGAGGAATGGTTAGGAAACGCCTCCATGCCCGTGAAAATGGCCCACTGAGCTCGTCAATAGAAGCAAAGTTCAGGTTGCTCCCCGATATTGAACCTTGACTTGCGGATTTCCGGAATCTTGATTCTTATAGTGTGTGTGGCCTCTGGAATCCGACTGCCAATAGCCCCAACACCCTACCCTACCAATGCTTCTCGGTATAACGGTGTGCTACCCCTGCGGCGAGTACATGATCCTGTGGCAAGCCGCCGATCGTATGTATGGATGCCCATCTCAAAAGGAGAGAAAAGGCAAAAAGCACAGCCTACAATCATGACTACAAGCTTGGAAAGCCCTGAGCCCTGATCATCCCCCCACTGCTCTTCTTTTCTCATGCACACGACCCGCGAGGGGGGCCTTCAGAGGCAATGCTCCTGCATTTACGGATTAGATGGCTGGCCTATTTTAGCTGATGTGAGGGCTGAATCATACATACGACGGCTGAATGTGCCGAAAGAATTGCTTCTGCCAAAAAAAACGCCCAAAGCCAGCCACACGACCCCACGCCACATATCAAGACGAAAGCTATGCAGGGCACTGTCTAGGATCTGTACACAGTATTTTCAAGTCTCTTTGCCCATTTGAGAGACTAAATCGCGTCATGTTCCAGGCGGTGAGACCTTTTTTTTTTCTTCTTTTTGCTGCTTTTGTACAAAAGGCGATGCAAAATGGTGCCTTTCTTAAAGCGGAACGCTGGTGGTAACCTGCAAGCGCAGAAAAAGCGTCGCATCCTTTTCGATGTAAACTGAGGCTAGGCTCAGAGACGGAAAACGCGCCAAAGACGCGCTTCGGGAAAAAAAAAAAAAGAGCTTTACGCGACCGCCGCGGTGGACAGGATTATGGAGTTTTGCGATGGCTCCATCTCCTGGTCCGCGGATGCCTCGACGGCCATGAGTAGACTTGTTGAGCGGATCAACAGTTCTGCAAAGGAAACAAGTCAAGAAGAAGCAATTAGCGAATTTGTTCTTGAACCGAGTAAAACCAATGGAAGCCCTAACCTTGATAAGTCAGTGTATACGAGACGGCCGGGTCCTCGTCTGTCCCTGACAGGAGCGGCATCCTCTCCGCCGGCCCCAGCGACACCCGGAAGCGCAGCCCAATAGTCTGCGCCGCGTCGTCTACCCACAAGATGCGGCTGGAAGCGAGCGGAGCAGTCGGATCCCAGACCTCGTCGTCATCGCCGGCGCCGGCGGCAGCGGCCTGCATGCCTTGCTCCAGCCACCGACGAAAGACGCGCACGACGTGCTCGCTCATGTTGTAGTGACTGACAAAGACGCCGCGGTGGCGACCATGCGGCGTGACGAGGTTGAGCGCCACGCAAAGCTGCGAGAAGAGCGCCCCGTCGTCAAATGGTAGTTCCTGCGTCGCGATCTCGTCGGCGCCGAGGGGGGGTGGGCCGTCGCGCACCGATACCGGCAACGCCATGTTACGGAACCGGCGCCGGCGGTTCTCCTCGGTCACGACGGGGAGAAAGGATGTGTACAACTGGCAGACGTGGCCGAGGCTCGGGGGCGGCGCTTCTTCTGCTTCTTCTTCTCGCTGCGTGGCGGCGGGGCCGCAGCCGGTGGGATGGCGTGTGCCAAGGGGGCGGCAGGATAGATACGGGGTGGAGATTTTAAGGCTGGGGTGATAGCACTCGAGGATGACCTCGTGTCCTGGATGCGAGGAAATGGCAAACAGACGCCGCTGCAAAGTGTGTACTGCTAGAAGGTGTATGGAACGGCAGATGAGAGTGGCCTTGAGCAATGCCTTGAGGGGTAGGTGGCCCAGTATGGCGACGAGGATCTGGCACTCTCGGTCAGTTTATGACGGCAGGATCGCAGGGGCATAACGCGATTTGACTTGCTTCATTGGGCAGTCTTTCGAGAATCAAAGATTCTCTCGTTTTTCTGTCAATCATCGTGGCGATGGGCTTTTTCGTGTATTGTTGGGGCCGTGGCTTGACGGTGCATGAAAACTCGTCAAGTCCGGAGGAGCCGGATGACGACGCTCGATCGTTACGTGCCACTAGTCGAAATGTTCATTTACGCGGCCAGATGCACTCCTATCGAGGCTGACTAGTAAATGAGACGAGGTTTTCAATGGCAGGACTAGAATTGATGAGTGTGTGATAAAAGAAACACGTCCTTGAATGCTCTTTCGGGATGCAAGTAAAAAGTTTCCCACGAGAGTGCGTCAAACAGGAGAAGTACCTATATAAATGCTACTAACTCACGCGCGAACAACTATGGTCCCGTTGGCGGCCCAGTGGTAGCTCCCTGTTAGCTGTCCCCACTGTCTGGGCAAGACTCAACACGGTCGCTGTTTGAATCCTTGGTCCACACGGTTGGTAGAGACAGAGAATGCAATGGAGATGTGTGTTCCTCCTCCAAAGAGTCCCCATCAACCCCTGTATGCGCCATGTAGAGCAGCTGAAACTGAAAAGGGCGTGGGGGATTGAGTACAAGGATGGAGGCGACTGGGGCTATTGATGAGCATCGTACTTAGATGGGCGGTTGTGCCGCAACTGGTTGACTTCTTTTTTTATTATAATTATATCAAATATAATATCTTTATATTATTTTCTATATTTCAGTAGAAAAGAGACAGAGTAATAGTGCACTCTCTCTATATATATACGTTTATTTTATACTTAATTACCTTCTTTTTCTATCCTGTTCTTTATATTTAGTATACTACTGTAGACACTCTTGTCGCCGCGACTGTTTAAGAGTACCTGCATAGCATCAGCCCTGGTGCAATACCATTGCCTCGGAGAGGGATGCTCCTTGAGCAAAAAGTCCTTCACGGGTTAATGGCAAAAGTTGAGCGTTTTGGTTTGTCGCCGCTAGTCAGGCAGACTATCGAACAGCAAATCGAGATCATGTCGTTGTAAATCGACAATTCTCGACCTGCGCCAGTTTTCCGGATTGTCAAGGCTGTTATCATCTCGTTCCGCGTCAGTGGGCGCCGTGCGGCTAACCAGGCAGCGCAGAATGAACCCAGCTTCCTCTTGATGGTCTTCGATTTGACTTGAAATTAATGCGTATGTGTCATCAAGGGTCTGGGGTGATTTCTTCTTCCATGGCCGTCGAGACATGCGCTGTGCGGGAACAATCTAGAATATAGTTAGATGGTGATGGAATTGTTAGTATACCACAACACGAACAAGAGACTTGGGCCGAACTACCCCTGGCATAGGGGTACCGCGCAGGTAGTCAGTCTCGAGCTTTTCAAAAGCGCAGAAGGCAAGTACTGCTTTGGAAAACAGCCAGCACGTGAAGTCTGCCAGACAATGCTTCATCACGTCTGATTGCACTTCCACAACCTTCAGTAGTCTGTCTTCTGTACCACCCACTAGCGAGGGCACGATAGATGTAGCCTTTCTCCCCTAAGTAGCCATCTCAATTCCTCGAAAAGGCGTACCAAGGAAGATGAAGCCAACCGTACATTGTGCAGTGTCAAGGTACCGCGATCCATGCCTCGTTGCAGAAACAAGAGCCTATCTATGAGATCAACACGTCGTGAAGTACAAGTTTGGCTCAATATCGACGTACATGTTCGATGACAATTCCTCAAGAGCTATGCCCAATGAAGATCAAAGGGCGGTTACGAGCCTCATCCTAGAAAATGTAAGCAGTCTTCAGGGGCACAAGGCTGGGTCAGCCCAACTGTGTTGCGCATGTCCCGAAGACGACTTGGGAAATTCCCTGAAATGTCGGAAAGCCGCTGCTGTGGAACTTTGCCCCCCGAAATTCTTGTCGAATCGTAATTGAACGTCAAGATCCGGCACTTGAATTGCTTCGCAAGTAGCATCTCCAGCCATGCGCCACCAGCGTCCACCTTGGGTATATATACATACTAGCATCGGGTTCTATATTATGTTTAGCCAGTATTCGTATTTTCTGCATGGTTGATTCTCCAGGCAGTGCTCGGATTGTGATCAGTGCGGCAGTTGGAGTAGTACCGATACGATTGAGTTCGACGCACCTATTTAGTGCCTGAAGCGATTTAAAGCATTCACTCAACGAGACAGGCGAGTGAGAAGAGGTGTTGGCTATGAAGCATATTAATCGAGTAGAGAAGCTTTTCACCTGACTATTCAAACTCTATATCGTCTACTGATGCATTGAGAAGAGTCGCTCAAAATTCAATCCAAAACGCCGTTATGCAACTTCATAATGTTATACATAGTATGTAGCCATATCCATTTATCGATTTTGTGTTGTGAGTTCAAATGCTACCGCTCGTGTCTTTGTGACGTGCATCGCGCACCGCCGCATCTACTGCGTCGTGCAGGTCAAGGTGGAAAAACGGTCGATCGACGGCTAAAATCGTGGCTTCGCCCCTGTCATTCTCGAGGCTTGTCCTAAGCTCAGGCCAAGTCGGGGAGCTATGATTTTCTTCATCACCGGCAGGTGCGCACGATCTCCTGCGATGACCGTTTGGTGTGGAGGTTGCTACTTCACTGATTGGAGCGATAGAATATATCGGCTTCCATTTTGCCAGCGCTTCTGGGTTCTGGCTTGTCGGATAGCCGAAGCCGGCAGTGGCCAACGCCTTTCGTGTCCATCTGTTTTGAACGTTGGCGAAGTGCCATTCGACAGTGTCTGGCGCTGCGTATCGATCCAGCACATTGCGCAGATCAATGAGACCCTGAATGGAGGTTATGTCGATATTGTTGACAGCTGAAAAGTCCAGAATCAAGGCTCTCAAGTAGGGCAGGTGCTGTGACAAAAGCTTATCACGCGGACCGGAGTCATTCCAAAGTCGGTCTGATTCGTGCTCGTATTGCTCTTCGGACGTCCGTTGAGTATTATTCATCAGATATGACTGTAGAATATCCACGTGCAGTGCTTGGTTGATATAATTGTAGCTATCATGTAGACGATACACAAAAACGCCGGGGTATGGCGTGTCGAGGACGATTGCAGGGTTCGAGGCGCCTTGGCGATTAAAGGGCAGAAATACGTCCTTGGTCGTGATAGAAGATTCCGCGAGCTTATCGGCTGGATCCTCAGTTACCCACGGCATGCGCCGCGAGCGGGCGACGCCAACAAATCCGCCATTGGCTCTTGCAATCCGAATTAGTAGCAGCGCCAGCGATAGGCCGACCCCAAGATAGATCGAATGGTCAAGAGATTGAAATATCGCCATTGCAACACATGCAACCCAAATAAGCAGCTCTAGGGGTGAGAGCTGCCAGTACTTGTACAGGTTTTTCGGCGGAGTAATGAGATTGCAGACAGCATGAATGATAAGGCCCGAAAGCGCGGCGTTGGGTATATAGTAGAATACCCCAGTCAGCGCATAAAGAGCCAGTATCAGCATTATAGCGCTGAAAGCTCCAGCGAGAGGTGTGCGGACACCAGCCTTTGACAGAACTGCGGACGCGCCGAAAGAGCCAGTGCAAACATAGCCTCCCACGAATGGGCTCAGCAAATTTGCAGCTCCTAGGGCGACAATTTCTTGCGAGGGGTTAATACTGTAGTTGTACAGTCTACCCATGGACTTTGCGATGGCAATATGCTCGATGATCAAAATGATGGCTACAGCAGGCAGTTCCGGAAGAATCTCTCGAATAAGTGCTGTGCTGAGATCTGGAGTTCCTATTTTTTTGAACCCTATTGACATGTCAGCGAGAATTCAGCGCCTTTTGCTACAGGTAAAGCATGCCTCGTTCTATGTGGCCGACAATGCGAAATTGTGGATTGATATCACCGCTACCGTGCACCAGAAAGCTGATGAGCGTGAAAAGTAGCATCGTAAATGTTAGGCGCAGCGACGAAGCAAATGACCAAGCTCGCTTATGAGCGGGCTGTCTAGACTCCATGTGGGAGCAGAATGCCCGAAGTGCGAAGAGAAGAACGATGGAGGATACTCCAATAGCGGCATCGAGCTTGGCGTTTGGCAAGGCCTTGAGAGTATCGATTATGACGCGATATGGTGGCGATTGGCTCTTGATTCCCTTGATCCCCAGTGCTGTCGGGATCTGGGTAGACATGATAGTTATACTCGCAGCCGTGACAAAAGCGGATATGGGGATGTAGGGAATGAATTCGACGACCCATCCCAGTCGTAAGAGACCGAAAAAGAACAAGACGATGCCACAAAGAAGGCTCAGCGTATGCGCAATTTGCTGGCTATCGTACATGGATTCGTTGTTTTCTTTGACGCGATTAACGACTTGGCCGACTAGTAAGGATCCGACTGCAGTAGTCTTTCTACGTTAGTATAGGATCGATGGTAGTGTATAGGGCAGCTTACTCCAATGACAATATCTTTCGAAGTTCCAAAAACCCAGTACAAGACAGCGCCAGTGAAGGACGTATAGAGACCGTACGCTGGGGTGAGGCCGGCGAGAACTGCATAGGCCATGGCTTGTGGGACGACGACTAGACCAATAGTGAAGCCTAGAAGAAGTTAGACCATAAGCTGGAGGACTGATCCTTTGCTTTGCTTACCCGCCACAGCGTCGCCTAGTAGCCATCTTGGATTGTAGCGTTGAAGCCAGCATATACATGGAAACAGGCTTTGAAAATAGTGCCGAACGCCCGCCTTGGTTGGTCTCAGCTCCTTGAGCCACTCTAAAACAGTAGGTTCTTCTTCTGTATAAGCAGCGGCCGGACCAAGGGCCGCGCGCGCGCGCTCCTCGAGATTCTGGGGTTGGTGTGCATAGCGCGCGTTTGTATCGATGCCAATTACCGATTTGACGAATCGGGCACCGGCATTTTTTGACATTGTTCAACGTAAGACTGTTGAAGCATGTAGAATACTGAGCGAAATCGATTGTTACTGCAGAATTTGGTAATGGTGTTTGTCGGGATCATCTATGCTCGATGTCTTGGCAGTCGACGTCGTGATCGAGGGCACCCTCTTGGATGAGCAATTCGATTTCGAACAGGCGTCCGAGCAGGTGATGAGATGATTGTAAAAGAATACAGACGCAAATAAAATCAAAGGGAATAAAGTGGCAAGAAAAAAATGAAAACGTCGTTATGATGTCTGATTTATAACGACTTTGACATTCAGTAGCACCGAGCCGGTATTAGCAGCGAGCGGGAGTCGGGAGGCGTTTGGGGGGAAAGAGCCAGCGGATGGCCACTGCGCTTGCAGACACTGCACAGTGATTCGAAAAAGACATTCTTGGCGATGCACAAGTCCCGTGTCTCTAAATTATTGCCTAAATGATTGCTTAATTGCTGGAGCTCTTCTTGGTTGCTTCAAGGTTAGAACCGGGGCGTTTGGAGAGCTGCGTCCTGCACACACCCTTAGCCCGCGGCAGTCGGTCAAGAGGCCAGCCTCGCCGACAGCCGCCTGCCTGCCTGATGCCGACCTGCAAACGGGACAGGATTTCGACCTCGTCATACTTGCATATCCCGCAGCACAGTCAATTCACGCCAAGATATTTGACCAATATGCTGAAAATGTTTGCCTCCTAATGATGACTGGTGTTTCTCGGGTCGGGAGCGTGTCGGGACATGTTCTCGGCGCAGCGGAAAAAGGTCTACACCCGGTCGCGTTCCCGCTCCATCGGGCCATCAACAGACATCCAAGACATTAATGAGCCTAATTTCCTGGATTCATTGATTAATTTCTCGCACACCGCAATTCGAGCTCATGGCCGTGGCGTCACTGGCAAAGAAATCACCATTGATGCCATTAATAAGTAGGCTCACTACACGGCGACTTACACCAAAGCTCACTTGCGTATGAGGAGAGAGATACAGCGCCTCCCTTGCACTGCGGCTGCAGAAGTCATGAAGGAGACGCAGAGTGAGAAAGCCTTGCCACTGCGGCGCTGATCAGGATGGTTTTGGTTGATAGTCGCCTTCCGTCACTCACTGCCTGTGCTGGTCGAAGACGACGATGGCCGCCATGCGCGATTGTAAATACAAGGGCGATTATCCTCTGCAGGCTTGAGCTGGGAATAGAGCGGATACAAGTTCACATTGCAACTTCCCCACTTACAACTACATCCGAATACTTATTGGGGTCGGCCCTCTGTGATTGCGTACACCACAAGGCCAGGGCAGACATGCCAGACAGTCTCATGTTTTGTCTTGAAAGTGTTCGCGGTGCGGGACGGCCTCTCGTGGAAATCCTTCCTCACTGAGGGATTAGCTGTTTGGCCAAGACAGGTAATGATGTAATCGACGTATTTATTCACTTGCGATTAGTGAGTACTGTTGCACTGGAAAATATGCTTCAAGGGCGCTAACCGAACAGTGAGGCTAGAGGCCAAAGAAAAAAAGAACGGCATAGACTGTGTCTCAGGATGCTGTGCCAGATAGATTTTAGTCTTCCTCAATCGCCGCGTATTTCCGAGTGCGTAATCGAGCATGAGGCACTGAAGTCTCGGCTCGTCACGCCCTGCACGCCACGTTGGCGGCCCACGTTGGCGAGACGGTCTCAACGTTGGGAAATTTGAACATGGGGCTTATCTGATCGTACACCACGACATATATCAGACCACGGTGTCCTTCGATGACCCCGCAGCTTGCGGAGGGTAGCGGTACATATGTCACGCTCTAGGTGCACGGGCGTCCTGTCTGCCACTAATTTAGTATAGACTGATCTACAGGCCGCCACCGCGTAATCCAACTTTTGGCTAGCAGCGAGCAGAAAATCTTGGCTAGTCTCGGTGGACTTATTGAAGTGGCCCTTTCTACTCACCAAACTGGTTTGGAACGCAGGTTGAAGCTGTTGCTGTTGCTAAAACTATTCGGCCGAGTAACGACTACGCGTTGTGGCTTAAACGAGTAAAAGCACACTCGGCATCGAGGGACGGTTTGAACGATGGAGAAACTATTTCACGCGCCACAGAAGCCACTCGAATAACATTTTGAACGCCCTTGCTTTTGTGAGGGCCGTACAACATCCTCAAGCATGGACTCATTCCGCTGTTCCTTTACTCGCCCTTCGTCCCTTGTAGTAAGTATCGGGAGCGGGCTAGAATGCACACCGCACTCCACACTGATCCGAGGCAAATTGGCATTTGCCCCGGCATGTCAACGCGATGAATGCCACCAATAACTCACTATGCCATGACGGGTGTTATAGACCCGCCCCCGCCATAGATTTGGTTGGATCAGCCCGGCCCAACAAAATTTTTGTTGTCGGAGGCGGACTAGAATTACAGGAGATGCAGGCAGTGAACTTCGAGTCCAGAGGGGTCAGAGGTCAAGTCCAAGCGGGAGTTTTTCAAGCTGTCAAGTTGACTGTTGATTAAGACTATTGATGAGGTCCGACTGTTGATTGTGCTGGCTGTTGATTAAAGCCGTCTGTCAAAATAGTACCTGTAGCGCATCTGTAACGGACCTATAAGTAAGCTGTGGCCCCGCCTGGACTAGGCTTCTGACGCCTTTGGACTTGACGTTTACTGGTACCCTTGCAGGAGGCGTTCGTAAATAGAGTTTCATTGGGTGCCACTGGGCAGATCAGAGACCAGCTAGAAATCTGACCATTGTTGTATAAAGTTGTGCCTCGGCCCTCGCGTAGCAGAAAACTCGAACCTTTTAAACCCCGCCGTCTAAACATTAGGTAGGGGCTTTTCATTTGCAAAAAGACACCAGCCAGCCTCTTTATTCTCGAGTAGAACAAAGAGCGAGAGACCATCATGGCAACCTCAACCCGAACCATCACGCGGTCGCAGCCGGGAAAAGCGGAAGCGGCTGCTGCGACCACCGCCCCACCACCACCACCACCGGTCAAGATTGAGACCAAGAAGTTGTCCCTGTTTGGTTATCTGGATATGATTCCAGGCTTGGCTGCGATTGTCGCTACTGCTGTCGCGTCTTTGATTACCGGGTTATTCAGAAGCGAGCAAGACTCGAAAACGTATTATCTGCACGTTGCCAATACCACCCTGCGCAAAGCGACGCATCGGCTCAACCCGCTACAGCTACAGTGAGAAACCCGGCCAAGTTTCAGCCAGCACCCATTTCGCTAGTTGGCTTTTCCGTTCGACCGCTAATCATCAGTCCGTGGCAGGCTGGTTTCGCCCAACACCGACATTATTTACAACCAGTATGCGCGCGCTAGAAATTTCAAGCCCGACACTGTGGCTCTCGCTCACGGAGCCCAAGGACATTGGGTGGGCAACAAGAATGCTACCAACGTGTTCATCTGGTACCACGGTAAGTCGGTCCCGTCCATCCATCCACTTGCTGAAAGCTATTGGGTTCCACGCAGTGAGGCTGGAAAAGGGGATGGATTGCATGAGCGGTGCTGATTTTAGGCTTTCAGGCGGCGGCTTCTGTCTGCCCGCCAACATTGGCTATTTCAAATTCTTTGAGCGTCTTCTCAAGGAAATCAACGCCGCGGGCGGCGACCTCTGCGTCTTCGCCGTCACTTACACGCTAGCGCCTCACGGCAGATACCCCGTGCAGCTTACGCAGTCTGTCGAAGCCCTGCGCCATGTACTCGAGCACACGGGCCGCTCTCCCGGCAACGTTCTTCTCGGCGGCGACTCTGCAGGCGGCAATTTGGTGTTTGGCGTGCTCTCGCACCTCGCGCACCCGCATCCCAGCATCACCCCGCTGCACGTCTCGAAGCCCCTCGCCGGCGCTGCCGCAATTGCGCCGTGGGTGTCTTTGCATCCAGACTTGTCCGAGCAAGTCATTTACGACGGCGGCGACATTGTGACGACCTTTGTGGGCGAGTCGTGGTCGCGGGAGTTTATGGGCGACGCAAAGCCCGACTACTACACGGACGCGTTTGACGCCCCGTCGAGCTGGTTTGAGACGTTTCCTGTCGACAAGATGCTCATGCTGGGCGGCGAGAATGAAATTTTGATGCCCATGATTGAGTTGTTTTATGAAACTGTAAAGGTTAGTTTTTTTTTTTTTTTCCTAACGAAAAAAGAAGAAGAGAAGAAAGAGAAAAAAAAAGAAGAAAAAAAAGTTGCGTGATGCTAACCAAAATCCAAGGCCGGTCATCCCAACGTGGAACTATTCAAAGGAAAGCGGGAATCTCACGTCGCTCCGATTTACAACATATATGTAGGCGACAACACAGAGACGGAGCAGGGCAAGAAGCTCAAGACTTGGCTGATTGAATTGCAGAAATGAGGTGGTGTTGCGAGCTGCTAGATAATTAGCAACAATCTAATTTTTTGAAACCATGGCGTCTATTCAAAGCCTGTATGAAACGAATACTTCGCCCCTCCCCCCGCAAATTCTCGAATGTCCCGGCAGAGAGTCGGAGCGGAAGATCGGGCAATAACTAGTGCCAAGGCCGGGCCTGGCAGCCGGCGGGTTCCGGATGAGAGCTGGGGCCAGGGGCGCGACATTGCTTGCTGGACCAGTCATCTCATGGAGACCAAGATGCTTTATTCAAAGCTAACTTTCAACGAATTTTTGCATTTGTTTTATTCATGTCAGGGTTCCGGGATTGAAAGTGCTCGTTTATTGATGATGGCAAGCAGAGGACAAGGTCTATTACATCCGCAAAGTCCAGCACATGTATACAATCCACACCTCGAACAACATTAGTTATCCGAGGCACAATAACTGCTGTCAATTCGCCAGCCAGCCACAGGCCACCGCAACCCTGCCTGATCTGGGCCGAGCTGCGCTAGTCTTAGCGGGATTGGGTTTGCGTGCACCTTGGGAGGAGATGGCGCCTGCGCGCTAGTTAGAAATGACAGGCCCGCCTTGAAGCCGTTTGGCGACAATCAGTTATTCCATTGGGTATCATGACATGTTAGGCTTTCTCAAAGGTTTATACATGTCTGCAAAATCTTGCTCAAGCTCGATCGTGGCCGGATGCTTCTGTACTTGAACCCATCATCCCAGTTGTCCAGGGTTATTACGGATGGAGGCTAGCTAGCAAGCTGCTAAGAACTAGGTTTAGTTTGTTACTAGCGCAAGGCATCGTGGAGCTCAAACGGATATGCGGGGTAACTATAGATTCCCAGGTGTAGCCAAAAACCCAGTTGCAAAGCTTGGACCTGTTCCCGGAAACCTCAAGGGGCGACAGGTTCCCGGAACTTTTTCTTTCTCTGTCATACTCTCTCTACCCGTGTAACTCTGACAGTCACAATCTATGCCCCCTGCCACACTTTTTGACTTGACCACATTCTCACCACAAACCTCATCAGCTTCTTCAAGAGTTGATTCACAGCAACCATGGCGCGCAAGCACAGCAACCCCATGACCAATCCGCTGCACTATGCGACGCCGCAGCTTCTCACCGGCGCGCCAGTGACATACACCACTGCTCAGCGAAAGCTCATCGGATACGACTATGGTAAGACACCTTTCCCCCCCTAGCACACGTTGAGAGAGGAGACAGAGCTCGCGCACTTCTGGCCCTCAAACTTCCTGGCAACATGAACCCCATTGACGCTTTTTTTACCAATCACAGTCATTGTCGGCGGCGGATGCGCTGGCTGTGTGCTCGCGTCCAAGCTCTCCGAGGACAAAGACGTGACGGTGCTGCTCCTCGAGGCGGGCGGCCCTCACACGGGCATCCTCGAGGCGCGCGTGCCGCTGCTCTTCTCCAAGCTCTTCCACGGGGAGCACGACTGGGACTACTCGACCGTGGAGCAGCCGGGCCTGGCGTACCGACGCATGTACTGGCCGCGCGGCAAAGTGCTCGGGGGCTCGACCACCATCAACGCCATGATGTACCACCACGGGACCCGGTCCGACTACGACGAGTGGGCCGACGCGCTGGGCTGCAAGGGCTGGTCGTACGCGGACCTGGCGCCGTACCTGCGGCGCATGGAGAACTTTACCGCCAACCCGCAGCGGCCGCCCATTGACCTGCAGCACCGCGGCACCGGCGGCGAGTGGCAGACGGGCTACTCGCACCTGTCGCCCATGGTCGAGGGCGGCTTCCTGCCGGCGTGCGCCGAGGCCGGCATCCCGGCCACGCCCGACATCAACACCGAGGCCGGCACGCTGGGCGTCAGCCGCTTCCAGACCTTCATCGACAGCAAGGGCGAGCGCTCGTCCATGGCGACGGCGTTTTTGACGCCCGCGGTGCTGCGCCGGCCCAACTTGTACGTCGCTTGCCACGCGCACGTCACGCGCGTGCTCTACGACCGCCTCGACAGCAACAAGCAGCCGTGCGCCATTGGCGTCGAGCTCATGAGCAAGCGCGGCGGCGAGCGCTTCGAGGTGCACGCCCGGCGCGAGGTCATTCTGTCGGGCGGCGCCGTCAACACGCCGCAGACGCTGCTGCTGAGCGGCATCGGCCCCGCCGAGGAGCTGCGGAAGCTGGGCATCTCCGTCGTCAAGGACAATGCCGCCGTCGGCCGCAACCTGAAGGACCACCTCTGCCCGACGGGCGTCCTGCTCAAGAGCAAGACGGCGTTTACGTACGACTACCTCAACAGCAACCTCTGGGCGATCCCCGCGCTGCTGCGCTGGCTCGTCACCGGCGGCGGCCCGCTGTCGAGCAACGTCGGCGAGGCGGCCGCGTTTATCCGCACCGTGGACCACCTTTCGCCGGCGACGAGGCCGGAGAACCTGCCCAAGGACTACTCGTCGGGCGGTGTCGGCCCGGATGTCGAAATCTTGGGCGCGCCGATTGCCTTTATCCATCACGGCGAGGAACCGGCGCCAGACAAGACGGGCGTCTTTTCCGTCGGGCCCTGCCTGCTGCGCCCGCAGAGCGCGGGCACCATTACGCTCAAGTCGACTGACCCATTCGACCACCGTAAGTTGCCAAAAGAATACTCCTCCCCTTCCCCCCTTCCCCCCCTCTCTTTTCCCATTCCCCCCTCTCTTTTCCCACTACCAAGATTGTGTGTCCGTGCCATGCTAACGTTTGACGTAAAAACAAAGCCATCATCGACCCCAAGTACTTTAGCGACGAGGGCGACAACGACCGCAAAGTCATGCTCGCTGCTCTGCGCCTGTCCATCAAGATTGCGCAGAGCCCGCACTGGAAGCCGTACGTCGAGGAGATTCCCCGCTGCGACGAGCCCGGCCATCTCTGGTGGCCGTCGTCGAGCAGCGACCCGGACAGCATCCCCGACGAGCAGCTGCTGGCCTTTATGAAGGAAAAGGCCTTTACGCTGTACCACCCGGTCGGCACGGCGCGCATGGGCCCCGAGGAAGACGCCGGCAACAGCGTCGTGGACCTGGACTGCCGCGTGCACGGCGTCGGCAGGCTGCGCGTCGTCGACGCCAGCGTCTTTCCCGAGCAAATCAGCGGCCACCCGACGGCGGTGATTGGCGCCATTGCTTACAAGATGAGCGATGTCATCAAGAGGACGTTTACGCCGGCCGGACCGCCCTTGGCCAATCTGTAAAGCGGATTTTTTTGTGACCTGGCAGATTGTGTGTGTGTGTGTGTACTGGTCTTTGTCTAGTTGAGTCTTTTGAGATTCTTTTTTAGCGTCACAGATTGACTTGCATGTTTGCAAGACATGCATTTCTTTTGAATACCGTGTCTCACACATGTCAAACTCGTGATATACTTGGAACACATGTGAATGAATATATTGAAACTTTTCATCTTACAGTCAGAAAAATATAGAAACTGACATGTGCGAGGAATTCGCGCTGAAAGAAGAAAAGGGTGTAGAAGAGGAGAGAGAGTAGGTGCACATGAAAACGCCAGCGTATGCATCCGTCTAAACCCGAGACCCCACCTCTTCTTTGGTCGCCCAGAAAATGCAGACAAGTCATAAAGTCATGAAAATCATTTGAAAAAAAAAAAAGAAAAAAAAAGGCAAAACATCAAAATATGCGGTAAAAATCAAAGAAGAAAAAAAAGCATGACACACAAGACAGGGCATAGAAAGACAACAGGCTCGACGAACGAGGCTAACCTAGGTCCTCGCCGTCCAAGCCCCTTCGCGAGCCACCTCGGCCAGGGTCGACTCGTCGCTCATTCTACGACGGCCTCCGCCCGACTCGGACGCAATGGTGCTCGCCCGCGCAAGAGACTCCAAGTCGTCCCGGCTCTCCGCCGGCTCCAGCGGCTCCGGCAGTCTACTGGGCACCAAACCGTTGCTGCTGCTGTAGGTCGTCGCGGTGTAGTGGCTGCCGCCGTTGTTGTTGTTGAGCACCCGGCGCGGGCGGCGAGCCGGCTGGGCAGAGCGGCGGTGGCGGACGCCGGGCTTGTCACCCTGGGCAAAGGCCGCGGCGAGCTCGCGCTTCTTGTTGCGGCGCTTCTGGCCGGCCTTGTAGAGGGACTTGCTGCACGCAATGACGACGATGATGATGGAGGCCATACTGGGATGGGAAGTAGAGAGAGAAGAGAGAGAGAGAGAGAAGAGAGCGGATTTTCTTTTTCTTTGGGCACGCTTGGTAGGTGATGCGTGTTGGATTGCGGGGGAGGAGGAGGGTCTCGGCGGGAGGGAGAGTGTTCTACAACCTCGCGTGCCGAAGAGAAATAGTTAAAAGGCCAAAGTGAAGTGGTGGTGAAGATGACAGGCACGGGAAACAATCGAGCAAGGAAGAGAAAAGATGAGGGGAACGCGGCATCAACAAGCAAGCATGCACATTGATAACGACATTCCTTTACTCCGCCGTCGTGCACGCATGGAAATACTACCTCGTTAGTTTCCCCCATGAAATCCGCGGGTGTGTGTGTGTGTACCCCCGTTCAAGTAGTGCCGAGCGCCACAGAACTAATTAGTTATAACTTGAGTCAACAAGGGAACAAAAGAAAAGAAACGGCGACTATTGATTTGCCAGAAAATAATCCCTCTGCCAAAACTGACCTGCAGTAGCTTGAGAGAGCCCTCGGGGGTGGCTTACCCCCCTCGCTAGTGTTGTGGTGGTGATCCTGTTATGGAAGGTCTGGAACTGGGCTTTTGGAACTATTTTATTATGGATTTGTTTTGGCCCGCCGACGAGTCTGGTTGGCTGGATGGCTCAGATGGCGTTTTTTACAAAAGCAACAACGCAAAAAGACGCACATTTGAAAAAAGGGAAATCTGATGCCGACTTTTCCGTAACATTGCTTTTCACTCTTCCCCTCCCTGGATAGAATTCAGAAACGATTTGTTATTGCACATTGCACAAAGAAGCCCTTCTCCCAGCCCTTCCTTCTTGTACATCATTAATAGGCTTCAGGAACTAGCCTGGCCTGGCTGGCCCGCCCCCCTCGGGCAGAGGGCCATCCTTGACGTCAGCCAAACATCATCTCGCCTGGCTCTACCCACATGCCTTGTTCCGACGGCTTCTTCTTTTGAAGCAGGCAGTGCTGTCCCCAAGTCCGCTTCAGCGACGCGGGCACGCCAGGCACGTCCGGCACCCAAAAAATGCGCGCCAGCAGCGGCGTCGTCTCCGCGTCCATGAAGCGCTCGCACTTGACCGTCTCCCACCGCGATGTGTCGGCAACATAATCGGGTTCGCGGGGCGGGGCCGTGGCTGTGCGCGCCGGGTACTGCGTGTCCACCAGGAACGAGCACATCCGCAGGTCCACGTACTTGCCTGGATCCTCCTCGTTGCGGTCGTTGAGCCCGTTGGTGGGCAGCCACGTCCCGCTCCAGAACCCGAAGCCCGTCTCCGCCTCGGAAAACTCCCCTGGCAGCAGTCCGCGAAACTCGGACGGGATAAATTTGGCGTGCATGTCGCGCGGCAAAAAGTACGACGATGGGAAGCGGTACCACTCCTTGCCAAAGCAGACATTGTCGCTCTCGCCACCCAGTGCCTCCTCGCCGTTTGAGTCGCCCCAGAGCGGCGAGTACACCTTGAGCGGTGCCGAGTACGCTTCGTAGATGCCGTAAATGCGCGACAGGCTGATGTCGAGAGAAAGGAACATGACGAGTACGACGCCAAAAAGCTTGAGTCGTGCTGGAATCATGCCGATCAAGCTCTTTTTATTGGCATTTCCAAGCGCGGACAGAAGAATGTGCAGCGACATGGACGCGTTGAGTGCCAGAAACGGGTACGCCGGATACATGAAGCGCTCCTCTTTATGAGGCTGCATTGTGAAGATGCCGAGCCACATGTAGAACGGCGCAAGAAAGACAATTGCACGCAGGCCAGTCTGGAACCCATGGCCAGACGGCGAGACCAACTTTTGGACAACGAATAGTGGTAGTGCAAGCAAGGCTAGCACAAACCAGATGTTGTAGTTGAGCGCCAGGTTCTTAAAGTAAAATGTCCACGGCTCTGTGCCGTAGAGGTCGGGGCCACCGGTCGATGAGAATATGTTGTACTTGACAATATTCCAGCTGACGACGGCCATCTTCTTGTAGAAGAAGAGGTTGATTAAAAAGTCGACAAACTGCTAAAGTTAGCCTCGTGCCATGCGTGGAGCTTTTGCATCTTTCACACACCAAGACTATCAGGCCTGCGACAACTCCACGAGCGACGCGCATGATGCATTCAATAAAGGCCTCCTTGTCGCTGAAAAACGCAAAAAATGCCTCCTCAAGCAGGAATGGCGCGCACAGGGCGGCAGCAAACGGCCACCCAAGTATGCCCCCAGTGGCGAACCAGAAGATGCCATGCGACGTTCGGAGACCGCCGCGCCAATCCATAAACGAAGCAGCACCGAGCATTGCCATGTACATGGCAAAGCTAGAGGGCAGGTATGCGGCAGCGGCGTGAAAGTTGCCGGGACTCGTGACGGTCGCAATCATGAAGAAGAGACCGATTCGCGCATTGAGCGTCGTGCTGGCAACCTGGTAGAAAAGTACTTGACAGAGAGCGCAGACGAAAGCGAGAATGTAGCGGACAAAGTAGAATTCGGCGACCTAGGTCGAGAGGTGGTTAGCTGCGTCAGGCGTACTCCTCAGCCCAGCCAGAGCTTCTTCGCACCTTGTTTGAGCGCGGCAGCAGCCGTCGAAAGCTCCCGACAATGGAATGAAGCGCGACATAGAGCCAGCTGCGGATGGCATAGTCGGGCGAGTACTCCCACGTCTGCAGGCCGTAGCCGTGCGACAGGTAATGGGTCGGCTCCCAGTAGTTGAATGTTTCGTCGCAATCTTGGATGGGCGCAAAGGCAGCGGCAATCAGGTTCGCGACGAGGAAAATATAGAATGCCTTGATCGGCTCAATGGCGTATGCGCTGAGACGCCTGGTCGTGGCAGAAAAAGGGTTCTCACGCGTTAGCTGAGGCTTGACCCCGAATTGCTGTTGCGACGGGCCGCCGCTATTGCCCAGCACACACCCCGACACTCACTTTTTCTTCGCATGCCCAGCGGCTGGATGTTCGAATTTTGGCTGAGAAGCCTCTTCCGCCGTGGTTTTTGACGCCATGGCTGTGTAATGGTCTGGGGATGCTTGATGGTCCAAGAGAAGAAGTCTCGCCAGCTCTCGTACAGAAACCTGTCGTCATTGCTCTGGATCCCCGCTAGCGTTGAGGTACCCACCATAGCTGCCGATCCAGGGTTCACGAATCGGAGGTCAGGAATGACATGAACATGGGATAATCAGATGATTACATGGGCTGGACACTTAAGGGAATCAGTCCTTTTTCAACGAAGCTCATGATTCGATGAGCTGGTCATCTTGGCGTCAAGGGCAATTGGTCAGACTATTGTTTGGGGATTCGTCAAGGAGAAAAGGGCCTCGTAGCAAAGCGACCAAGAAAGAAAGAGGATTGTAAAATATGCAACTTCAAGGCTAGAAGAGTGTGAAAATTTCTACTGTTTTTTGAATGCTACAGCAGAAATCAAGTGGTTTTCAACCGCGCAAAAAGTCTTTAGCTGGGATCGTGGACGGGCAGTGTTCCCAGAAAAGATGGTGGATCGAAGGGTGATCCAAGATAAGCCAACCGGCTTTTAGAGATGATATATGAGAGGCAAAGGACACACGTTCAAAGTGTCTGGAAAGTGATGGGTAAAGGGCCGATTCGTCGCGCCGTATGGTGCATGAGTGGCCTGACTGGCTGAGGTCTGTTCAAGATCACGATACTGGTTTCGTAAGTCAATTAGCTTGGCGCTGACGGAGTATTACTTCAGTATACCTGGTCATATTCCGTTTTTGAATCACTCTCTTTTCGTGTCTAAACCAGGTCATTGAGTGGTCACAGCCGCCTGCAAAGCTAGGCCACAGCACGGATGCTACAGCGCAAGATTATAATGCCTGAGCAGCATACATCAAATTAAAAACTCGTGAAAAATTTCGACACATATCTGAAAATGAAAAACTCTATAGAAGATCTGGTTTGAATTTTTTTTTAAAATTTCGACGAGATGCCATCAAGCAACGGTTACAAGTGACTGGCAACAGGTTAGCGGAATAGCCGTCTCCACCGCTTCCGCTGCTAAGTTGACCCACCTGCAACATTTTCTTTCTGCCGTTCATCGCTATCTTATCGTCCGCAAAAAAAAAAGTTGGCAGCTCTCCGACCTCTTTCCCTCTCGACTACATCCTGGCCGGAGTATTTTTGGTACATTATATGAATTAACACAACCATGTCGGGCTTCCAAATTCCCGGCCTGGGACAGGCCAAGCCTAACGAAACACTGCCGCCGCTGCCACCCGACCTAGTTGCTGCCGCTGCAAGCGCTGCTGGGCACGAGGACCTCCCAGATGCGCCCGAGACACAGACGGCCGGAAACCCAACTACGGAGGCTTCAGCCCCGGCCCCGGCTCCGGCTGCTACTGATGCCGACGCCATGGCTGTCGACGAGCAGCCCCCTGCCAGTCCGCCATCTCTAACAGGAGCCCTCGAAGCCGCGATTGGCGGTCTCGCCAGCCAACCTACGCAGCAGCCGCCCGCGGAAGAGCAGCAAGCACCCACGACAGAGCAAGAAGCATCCACTCAAGAGCAGCAAGTACATCAGCAGACAGAACAAGCTGCGCTCCAAAGCGTAGATCTGCAAAACGACACCGGCGAGAACCCCGAGTGGGAGATTGACTCCTCCCCCTACGAGTCTTCCGAGTCCAGCTCCGATTCCTCTTCCGACTCCGACGACTCTGACAATGAAGGCTATGAAATGCTGGGCGTCGAGGAGACGGCACGCATGCTCATGGAAGCCGGCTCCGACGACGAAGGTGGTGGCCCCAGCGGCGGCGCCAAATCTGGCGCCGCCGCGCAGCTGCGTACCAAGAACGAGCTCGCCGACGAACCCGTCATCGCCCGTCCCGACGTTGTCATCACCGAAGACATGCCCCTCGAAGTTCTGGGCGCCATCGAGCACATTGTCGACACGACAGCGCTCGTCGCGGGCGTCACCCCTGGCGAGTACCAGGTACTAGACTCGGGCTCCGTGCTGTGCACCGCGTCGCGCGTCGTCGTTGGCGCCGTCGCCGAAACCATTGGCAAGGTCACGCGGCCCATGTACACAGTGCGCTTCAACAGCGCCGACGAGATTGCGGAGCTGGGCCTCGCGGTCGGCACCGACCTCTACTACACGCCCGCCCACGCGACCTTTGTCTTCACGGCGCCGCTAAAGGCCGTAAAGGGCTCCGACGCTAGCAACCTCTACGATGAAGAGGCTGCCGCCGATGAGGTCGAGTTCTCCGACGATGAAAAAGAGGCCGAGCACAAGCGCGCCGCCAAGCAAAAGAAGAAAGATAAGTGGAAGGCAAATAACCCAGAAAAGGCAGCGGCTGCTGCCGCGGCCCGCACCAAAGATCACCCCCTCCGGCAGCAGCACAATGTCGATGCGGGCCTCAACTACGACGACGATGAGGATGGCCCGTACAAGCCCCTCGCGCGACCCTCGTCACTAGCCAGCGGGCCTGGCGCCTCGCAGTACGATCAGCCCCCATCGTCCTCCCGACACGGCGGCGGTCGACGTGGAGGCGATTTTCGCGGTCGTGGACGTGGCGGCGGTCGCGGTAGCGGCAGCCGAGGAGGATATGCTCGTGGTGGGGGCGGCGGCAGCAGCAGCAGCAGAGACGGTTACTCGCTGCCTCCCCAGGGCAACCAGCAGCCGCCGAACCACTACGCCCCGCCTCCGCCCCAGTCCGTGCCGCAAGGCGCGTTCGGGGTGCAATTCCCTGGGTGGCCGCCCGCCGCCGCTCCTCCGCCGCCGCCGCCGGGCTGGCCTGGGTCTGTGGCTGCTGCCGCTCCGCCGCCTCTTCCGTCAGCGGGGCAGGGCGGCAGCGGCTTCAACATTGATCCAGCCATGATTGCGGCCATTATGGGGCAAATACAGGCGCAGGCCGCCAATAACGGCGGGCAGCAGCCCCCGGCGTGGAATGGACAGCAGCCGCCTGGCCGGTGAATGGTAGTGTCGGGGCATGGTTATTGGGCATGTGTGTGAATATAAGCGGCGCAACGGTTATTCAAGCTAGGCATTCAACAATCATTCGCATAGAAATCAGGGGTTTTGAGGCGTTACAAGGTTCATAAGGCTATTTCGACGATGATTGGAGCGCTTGGCTCCGTAGAGGACTAAAAGGACATTACAATTTGGGGTAAAATCTCGAATGCGTTTGATAATTGATGAAATGCATATTCTTAGGAACAAAACATGGCGCTACCGTATTCGCTGCAAAGTGAAGATGCCAGAGTCTATCATGATTACAGCTCGAGATTGTCAAGGCCGCCGTCCTTGTCAAAGTCATGGGTGCCGAGCTCGTAGACCAAGCCAAGCGTCATCTTGGCGTGCTGGAGCATGTGATCAAAGGAGAGATACTTAATCAGGTCCTCGGTAGTGTGGATATGAGGGTCAGAATTCTCGAAAGCAGACTCGATGACAAATGCAGATGGGTAGCCAGCCTTGGACGCCGAAGCGTGGTCGGAGCAGGCATAGCCGCACTTGGTTTCGACCCAGGGAATATCGCAGTACTATAGTGGGTTAGTCATGAACCTTGTTGCTCAGCGAGAAAGAGGAGAGAAATCGCACCTCTTCAATGACGACCTTGATAAACTTGGTCAGGCCAGGATCGACAAAGTCCATAATGACACCGACGCTCTCGGGCTTTCCAGCGTCGAGAGTGCCCTGGATGTAGCCAGTCATGTCTTGCTGGAGCATAGCCTTGACGGCCCGGCCACCTCGCTCATATTCGCTAAAGATTGCTTGGCTTCCGAGTAACCCGCCCTCTTCGGCGCTATACCAGTGGAACTCGATTGTATTTTGGGCCTTGCCGTTGACAATGTCCTGAGACTGGAGAATGGTGCGGAAAGCCTCCATGATGGTGACGGTGCCGCTGCCGTCGTCGTCGGCGCCGGGGGCGGCGAGAACCGAAGGCAGCCAGAGGTTGGTGGAATCCTGGTGGGCGCCAATCACAATCGTGTTGTTGGTGCGGCCAGGAATAGTGGCAATGACGGAGTGCTGCTGCCAGGGGTGCGGGAAACTCTCCGCAAAGACCGTCTTGTCGGCGCCTGCTTCCTTGATGATGCTGTTCACTTTTTCCAGGACCCAGTCCGAGGATTGCAGGCCGGTTTCGGATCGAAAGTATCGAGTGTAGAAGCTAGTAAGCTTCTCGAGGTTCTTTTGCATTTCACTCTTTGAGAGCGTCTTGGCGAGCTTGTTGACTACCTTTTGCTGAGACACCTTTTTGGGGAACTGAACGACAGTGTTGGCTCCAATCTTGGAGGCGCCGAGATTGCGGGTTTCGGTAATGTCCATGAAGTTTTGGCCGTTCTATATTGTCAAGCATGTTAGCGCATGGCCATTGTAGAGTCTCCGACACCGGACAACAGCGAGAGCGTTGATCAGCCAGTCACAACAAAAGCTGATGATGGGAAAAGCAGGGTTGTTGATTCTGGCATCTCAACATCCTTTTTCTGATGCCCCGTGTCAGCTGGAGAGTCGCGAGCTGCTCACGCGGCGAAGCTCCCATTTATCCTCCTCGGTGACCCATTGCTGTTTGCCGGGCGCCGTCTCGATCAGGAACTTTTCCTCGGGGTGTAGCACGACATGATCGTTGGAGGCGCTGGCGGTGCCTTTTTCGATAAAGCGTCCTGCGACGGCAGGGACGCAGGCGGCCAGTACGGAGGCTGTGGAAAACTTCATCTTTGCAGGTTGTGTTGAGGATGTTGAGAGGATGAAACGAGACGATGACGTGCGGAGAACTGACCCTGAGTACCTAGCCTAGCCGTCACGGCAGCTTGGCAGCATGGGGCTGGGCCCCCACTTCAACGGCTTATGTGCCAATAGAATTCGGTCACTCAGAGAGTCGCCCCGAGTCTACCTAGATCTAAATTGGGATTAGCATACTTCTTATTCGGGTCAGGCTCAGGCAGGTTTCGCGCAGTAACAGCACTACAAGTAATTCTGTAGGCCCGATAACCACTATATTGTGACACTGCACCTACTATAAATGGCATGCTACCTGGCAACTTGGGTAGTATTACTGCTGACCACGTTATCACGGCAGCTATTAACATTGAATGATAAGCAATCATCAATTTATAACCCGTGATGCACTAGGAAAAAAATATATTATTCAGAGTGGAGTTGGGTACAACGTCGCACCTAGGTAGACCTAGAGCTTCACATCGGCAAACTCCTCGTCGATAACAGTCAACCCTCCATATCCGCCCTTTTCCACCACCTCGTCGTCGACCACCATGGTCGCCAGCAGCTTGGCCGTCTCAGTCGTGCTGTAGTTGTTGCTGACCTTGTGGTGGCAGCACGGCGCCTCGAAAAAGCTCTCACCCTTGGTCAGCACCTGAGTTTCTTCGTCGTTCATCTTGTTGATGACGGTGCCCTCGAGCACCAGCACCGACACGGACGCGCCCGCGTGCTTGTGGGGGGGCGTAGCCGCGTTGGGCGGAAAGTTGACAATGATGCCAATGGACGACTTGCCAGGGCAGTTGGGCAGCTTGTAGTGGTAGGCAACCTCGACGGATGGCAGGGGACGGCTGAGAGCGAGACAAAGAAAGGTTAGTCTGGGTATTAAAACCTTCTCAAATCTGCTCCAACTCTCTCAAAGAGCAGCAAGGTCGCATGTAAAGTTGCTCTATGTTGAGACGTTGGCGTCTATATCTTGTGATTACATACCCGCGCTCGTATTTGGGAAGTTCGGGGATTGTGAAAACCATCTTGAGGACGAATTGTCGGGAGCTAATTGGGGTTGATGTAAACTGAGGTTTTTTGGAATTCAGAATGATTAAAATCGACTTTTCTGAATCTCGACGGCTCTACTTATACATTCAGCATCGAGTACAAACTGTTGTCTTCCGCTTTCCGGCACCGCGTGGGGCTCAACATCCGGGTCGCCGAATACCCGCATACCCTATCGATACGCATTCCCGCCCCCAGCGCCCGATGCGGCGATGCCCACCCTAGCTAGTTTCGGATACCACCCGGGCAGCGCAGGTCCGATGCCATTATTTGCTTAGAAAACGGCTTTTTTTTCTTTCCAAATATTATCGAGACTTGTTCGTCTTGTCTGTATAAAAGGCTCCTGCTTTTTCTGTCTATAGTAGTGACGGTCGCCACCATCAGCTTCCTGCCACAAAGCGCACATCAGCATCAGCACCAGCTCACTACCACGGATCTGTGATTTCTTTGCTCAACTATTCTTAACAAACACAACATATTACTTGCCATCTCAACCAAATTTCGGCATGTCGCCTCTGCCCTCAACAATGAAAGTGGTCCACCAGCCGGACCCCAAGTCCGTCCACCTGGTCCTCGACGACGGCCCACTGCCCACGCTTTCCCATCCCGAAGATTGCCTGATTCGCATATACACCGCCTCACCATGTCTCGGTGAGCTGCACTGGGAGGAGAACTTCCCGTCCCTCTTCGAGCCCGGCCGCGAGAGGGTCCCGTGTACCGAGGCGGCTGGCGTCATCGTCCAGGCCCCGCCTCCCTCCTCCTCCTCCGTTGCCACGTGCAACCAGCGTCCCTTCAAGCCAGGCGACCACGTCTTCTTCCGCGTCGAGCCGTCCATGACGGGTAACTTGCGACAGTACTCCGTGGCCCGCACCTCGCAACTGGCGCACAAGCCTAGCAACCTAGGCTGGGTGGAGGCCGGCGCCACGCCTCTGAGCGCGCTGACGGCCTGGCAGGGCATCTTTGACCAGAGCGCTCTGGACCCCCGCGGCTTGTTTGGCGATGTGGGCGCTCGCCGGGCCAACGCGAGCCTCCGCGTCCTCGTCACGGGCGCGTCGGGCGTGGTTGGTGGATGGGCGGTCCAGTTGGCAGCCCTCGCCGGCGCTGGTGCCGTCGTAGCGTACGCGGGGGGCAGGTCGTCGGCCGAGCATGTCAGGGGGCTTGGCGCCACCGAGGTCATTGACTATAAAGAACAAAGCTTAACGGAGTGGGTGGCGCAGGACCCTGAGGGGCGGGCCGTAGACGCGATTCTGGACTGCGTCGGTGGCGTCACCCTGGGTTCCTGCTGGCACGCGGTCAAGGACGGCGGGTTCTTGCTCAGCGTCGCAAGTGATCCGGCGCAAGTAAAACCAGAGGACGTGGGAGAAAAAAAATTGTCCGCTTCAAAATGGTTCCTCGTGGAACCCAAGGGAAGCCAGCTCGCTCAGATTGCGACACTAATGGAACAAGGCAAATGCGTCACCAAAGTGGACAGCGCGGTGGATTTCGAAGACTTTCAGACGGCCTTTGATAAGGTAGAGCAAAAGACGGCCAAGGGAAAAGTTGTCATCAAGGTTTCGCAGTTGAACGGCAAGTGATACATACGTCTTTTCCTGACTCTTATAGTTGTGTCATCCTGCCTGTATATATAACTATTTTCGCACTCAGGATTATCTGCAGGCACCTTAGCTATCGACTTTGTTTTGATCACGAATTTAAAAGAGCAAAGTAATTAATTTATTCCATCTTTATTATTAGTTCTCTAGAAACCCAACTTATTGTAGTCTTGCCGACTTGCCGGCAAGGGCACGCCGCGTCCTCCACCACATGATAGCCTGCATTGTGTACTAGCACCTAAAACTGCACTTAGGCGGAGAGGAGGGTTTTGTTGGCGGTCGAGTTGTGCGGAATGAGGACCATACCATGAACAGTAGTGTTGCGTGCAAGAAAGGCCCTGGCATGGATAGTGGTGTTCTGTGCGATGGTAGAGTTCTTTGCAAGAGCCTCTTCCTCCGCCTCCGCAGCCTTTTTCACAGCTTTGCATGTTTTCTCGGCAATAGCTTTTGCCTCTTTTGTTTTTTTTTCACGTTAGTAAATGAACTCGGTCATATTTTCATTCCCTTTTGGTTTCCCTGATTGTAACGTACTCAGGGCTTTGGCCATGTCGCAGGCCTTGAGAATGCATTTAGGAGCCTTCTTCATGACTTCGGCGTTCACCTTCTTGTCGCACATGCACTTGTAGTCTTCTTCCTTGCAGTTGGTCGTCTCCCTGAAGAGCTTTTCGAGGCACTCATAGGCGCATTTGGGCATGTCCTTGTGCGTGCCATTATGGGCAACGAAGGGGCTGGCAGCAGCAACGGTTGCTAGAACAGCAACGATAGCCGTAGTGAACTTCATGTTGAGAATGTTCGGGTTGCTAAAGTCTGCCTGATGACTGAGCAAAGGGGGCGGAACGAGCGAACAAGGTGCGTGGTGCAGAGAGAAGAGGAAGACGAGAGAAATTGGGAGGCGAGCGTCTTTTGTAGACGAACTCAATATGTTTATTCAAGTCTTAACTTAGGAATTGACTTTCAATTAGGCTTTTCATATTTTGTGTTATGGGTCGTGGCGGCTTAAGAGCGTCCAAGTGGCTGTTGCCGTTTCAATATTGGCATAATAAACAAAAAGACTGGCCTCTGATCAAAACATATTCAAATCTTCATTGAGCCACTGTATCCACTAACTATGCGGGGATCAAAGCTTATTCAAGCCGGACCGTCGCACTTTGGGTTTTTAGGATGCGGCACTTTGGCCACAATGGCGGCGCCTATATAGAACAGGGTGCCCCGTGGCTTTGCTTTTTAAAGATCAAGAGCTTTACCTTTCATCAAGGCATTAATTTTATTCAACCATGGAAAGAAATAGTGAGAAGAGTTGTAGCTGCTGTGGGACCTGCTGCAACTTGTCGTTTTCTGCACCCAACTTACTTTCCGACGACTCTCATCAATCTCGAATCGCCGTTGATTCACAAACGTAACTCCCAAAGCCAACCAACATGGCGCGTTTCGCCTATGTTTTCGTGGCCATGGCCGCCTTCTGCGGCTCGCCCCTCGCCCACGCCCTCACAATTCCCGATGAGCTCCCCGATGGCGTCTACGAGGTCGACTGGCTGCCCGGTTTGAGGGAGGGCATCGCCTCCATCACCTACTTTGACATTCCTCACGACGTCAACATGACGGCTGTCGAGACCACCAGCAGGCTCCCGCTGCCGGTCAAGCAGCGCGACGTCAACTGCCTCCTCAAGGACAAGCGCGCCAAAAACATCACCTGGGAGCTGACGCGCAGCGACGACCAGGCCAAGGCCATGAACATGCTGGGCAACTGGTGCGAGCTGGCGACGTTTGTGCAGAAGGACGCCATGGTCTTTGCCGTCGTCAACGACATGATGTGGTACATTTGCAACTGGGACAACAAGCACAACTTGCTTTCCTACCAGCAGCACTGCTCGAGGCGGGAGATGGAGGCCGCCGCGGAGCGCATGGACAAACAGTGCGGCAAGGACAAGCGCGCCCAGCTGAGCATCGGGATCTGGCAAAAGACCTATGGCAGAAGCCATCGCTTTGGTGACGTCTGCCACGGCAAGGACACATGGAGCGAGCACAGCTAATTGTACTGGCGTGCAACGGTAGCAAGCATTGGGGATATATGACGAACAGAACATTGAGGCGGTTCAGCCGTACTGTGTGCCGCGATGGCTAGGTATGGGGGTTACCATGTTATCCGTGGTTGTTACAGAGAAAGCTGTTTATAGTTACTAGTTCCATACAATAATATAAACAGACAACCATCTCGACATACAAATGAGAGAAGACCCTTTGGCCTATCGGGCACTTTTAGCGTTGACTGCCCCAGCAACCCTTGAACAACTGCCAGACATCGAAAAAGCGAGTGTAATGAGGCCTCGAATACAGACTATGGAAAGATGCCGATAGGCAGCCCGTGAGAGAGGAGATGTAAAGCTGGCTCTCTCGCCTAGCCCAAGCCGTTGAGACTACTGCCTCTGTTTACGACAGATACAGTCCAGAAGGGCGAGTGTTATGTAATGCCATGTGGAGAGCAATGTCAATATTCCATGCCAAGGCTAATGGAATAAGTCTAAGCCGTCATCTCCAGGTATTGTATTCTGGTCCTGGTTCCGTCATCACCTGCTCTTAAACCACCTCTAGCCAGTCGGAAGTAATGATGTCGCCGGTCCAAGCCGGCCCAGACTCTGCGTGGTAGACCCATTTTTCGACTGACTGAAACTTTTTCATGGCCATCTTCTTGTCCATATGAGCGCAGGTAGCGGAGAATGTGATGCCTAGAAAGAGCAAAAGGCTTCGAGTCAGCGTACGAGCCTACCGATGGGGCAAATTTGGGCGGGTGCATACCTGAAAACGACCACGCGTCTCCCGCTCCATCCTTTCCGAATTGATCAAGAATACGGACTTCTTTTAGACTGCGAATGTCAATCTGGTCTTTGCCAAAGACTTCCTTCAAATCGATGGTGCCGTCCTTGGTGTAGCCCAAAGCCGGGCTAACTCCGAGCGGGATTTCCTTGCTTTCGCCAATGGTAAACGATAATTCGTCCCATGTTCCGCCAGAGTAGACGTTGCTCAGCTTGAACTGATATGTCAAATCCTTGATGATGGCACAAGGAGGAGAGAAAGCCCAGTCTCCGGGCACAATGGAAAAAGTGGCAACAGGTTTGGTCTTGTAAGCATTCCCTTCTTGCCAGCCGCCGGGGTGTCCGTACCACGCGTTCAGCCCGACAAGCTTGTCATCCTTGGCCTTGAAGTCGGGATCGGCACATTCTGCGCGTATTTGAACATCTGCGTTGGGAACATTGGTATTAGTCTCTGGTAAAAGCAAATGTTATTTTTTTTTTTCGTCATACCTTGGACCTTCCACTGATCATTCGTTGGGTTGCTTTCTCGGATCACTGAAAACACTCCAGCGGCATTAAGAGTAATCTTGTCGATGCCTCCGATATCGATTGATTCCGAACCGAATGATGCTTTCATATTGACCTTTTCCCAGGTACTAAAGCCTCTGGACGGCCCATTTGCAAGGTGCAAAACTGCCTTGCCAGCCGGGCCTTCGAGGGTAGCGCCGATGCGGTCCCAGGTCCCAGACCAATAGTCGTTGGAGAGAGCTAGTCCGAGCTGGATGTTCTTGATTGTACGGCAGACCGAAGGTACGTTCTTTCGTCGGAGAATGTCACGGGCTCGTTCGCAATCCTGTGTTGAGGATGATGGTGTCATCGGCGTGGGCGTTACTGTAAGAAGGGCAGAGGTCAGCAAATGGGCGTGTTTTATAGCCAGTGTAAGTGCAAGGAGGAGTACCTTGTCGGCTGTTCAGCGTCGCGACACTGCCCGGCAGCGACCTTCGAGTCTTTGGCGTAACGTTTAACAGCACGAAACCGAGGGCAAGAGAACAGTCAATCCCGTTAAAGTCACCCGATAGTAAGCCGTCGGTTTGATACTCGGTGAGAGCCGGTGGCTGGGCTGGTTCGCTCTGGAGCCGCTGCTGAAGCGTTTCAAGTGCCGACCTCTGTCCAGCCGTCTCAACATGATTCCGGTCATAGTCAGAGCGCGACCACGTGTGCAGCTGGCCCCTTTCATGCTCAGCAAACATCTGCAGGGCAGATATGATGGTGCCCGTCCGGCCGTGACCGTAGCCACACCATACCAGCGTGGCACCAGTGCCGCGGTTGCTGACGAAAGCGTCCCAGGCCCTCTGGAAGTCATCCTGGGTTGCGGCTTTGAAATCCTGGACAGGCAGAGGAGTATAGGTAATTCCAGCTTCTGCAAGAGCCTTCTTGATCTCTTCGTTGTTGGCTTCGGCGTTTGCGCTGATGATGTGGGTGACGCCGTGCTTCTTGAGAGCCGCGATAGTCTCAGGAGTTATCTTCTGATGCGAATCTTGGCCCGCGTAATAAGGAGCTGATGAGCGGGCAAGCTCATTCTCAGATCCCATAAATTCCTTGACAAATTCGAATCGCTGGAGCCCGCCCTCGGCTGCGTTCCCGTTGGACGGACCTGCTCCTATAGGTTCTGTTAGAGACCACAACTACACGGTGCCCTTTTCAAGCCGTCTTCTAGGTCAAGACTTACCACCATCCATGTCCACATAAGAAGGGGACGGAGCTGCATGAACAGCTGCTGCAGCCCATGCAAAAGCGAGAAATGCCTTGCCAAGAAGCATGATGTCGGCCGGACTGTAGATATCCGTAAGTATCAGGCACTTAGCCAATGTCGGTTCTCAAAGTCTGTCGTCGATGTGTTTGGCCGTTGGTTGGCGCAGCTGCCTCTATATATAACTGCTTCATTTCTTACGTCTCGCGTGACAGTTCACCGCTTTCTTCACCTTTGCTGAATGATAAGCGTCATTGCTATTTGCAGGAGAGCTTTTCTCTAAGGCCACGCAGAAAGTATTCACATTCGCACGATAGCTTCCTAACAAGGGCAACACATTAGTACTTTGAATTTATAGGTAGCTCCACTCGATACGAAGTACCACTACTACCACTCCAGTCAGAGTATAAGAAGGACACTAGAATAGAGTGCTATTTGCACAAGAGCTTTTTGTTAGCCGCAGCCTTTCCGCACAAAAAAAGTCTATTTCCAAACTGAGACACGTATCGCGTGTTTCGTTACTCAGACTTTGGCCCTAAATTTCGATTATGACCTGACCCTTCAACTCAATCCATTACTTTCATGTTGTGATTCGGGAGATGGACACATTGCGATGTAGGTGTGACCCTCGGCGGCTAATCACAGGCTTATTCCGCCGCGAATGAGTCGACAGGCCCCCGTGTATAGTTCAAGAAATTGGCCAAGGCCGTCCCTGTAGTGTTTTTGACAGGGACAGCGCCATGTTATGCCGAGGAATCTCTCCGTTTGAAATCAGACCCCGGATCGGTTTGTCTTCTTTCTCGGTCTTGCTTGCATGATAACGATCCAAACAAACGTGTGTGGGACAGGCTAGCCTTGCCCGGATGAGATGAGGCAGCTGAGCGCATCGGACGATTTCCCGAGCCGCCACTAGTCAATCATTATAATCCGACAAAGGCTAGCCTAGAACGTTTGCCGCCGCCAAACTGGCATCATCTCCGCTGTGAGCTTATTATCAAGTGGGGAGCAACGGGCCCCTGCAGGCGCGGCTGCATCACGCGACTCATGCCATCTTCGTATAAAAGGAGCCGCGGACGACATTTAAGCTTACATTAATTAGCCTATAAGTTATGGAGAATTTCGGCCTACCCGGCGGCGCGGGGGTGGTAGAAATTCCTATTTAGGAAGTACCTATATTATACGCCGTTGGAGTCCACCTTTTACCCTTTTATATGTTGCCAGCGGCAAACGGATCTTGTTGTCCCGAGGGCCGAGATGTGCAGAAACTTTCTCATCTTTTTCATATTACGTGACGCATCCAAACCGTAGACATTGGTTCCGAGTACACACCGGAAACCACCTTGGTTATAGCGAAGTTGAGCATTATAGCTCGTGATAGAGGAGTCTCTTTATTCCTATCCGACTTGGTACTAGTCTCTTTATTACTATCCGGCTTGGTACTCATAACATGCTCCGAACCGAAGCTCTTACGATAGGAATAACGAGAAACGAGTTCAATACCGCCACTGTCTGGTCTCCGATAAGCGCGCCTATAGATGCACAGAGCTGCTACTAACATGGGCGTATTGGGTGTAATCGTGCTCAATATTTCAAAGCGTTCTTTGTAATTCGGAAAAAAAAAAGGTTGTATATTTGTTGATTCTCCTCTTATTCGGCCATTACACAGGCAGTGCCCTGTCTTCTTTCACAGCCAACTTCACAAAGCCATTGATAATATTCTGTCAAGGTAGGAGAAAAGCATGTACAATGTTACTCTCAATTGTATACCATGGCACATTGGTCGCAAGCGGCGGGCAGCACTGGGGAGGGCAAGAGAAAAAAATGTACAACAGTGCGACCTTGGGCGGGGGGGCATGTTTCCGAAATTGTACGCCGACCTTTAAAATTTTTCTGAACAGCACTCCGTATGACCAGTTTTTAAAGAAATTATGTACATCGTGAATCATTACATCGTAATTCGTGTCAGCCCCCAATTTTTTTTTTTACAGTCCCATGTCATCATCGCTGCCGTCGTCGCCAGAACCCGCTCCGCCGCGCTCCTCCTCCTCCTCTTCCCTCCGCGTGGCCTCGGCGCTCGCGCCCAGCTTCCGGAGCCCCTCGACCACCGCCGTCACAAAGCCCCTGCTCTCGGCCAGCTCCATGGCGCCCACGCCGCGCAGGCTCATGACGCCGTCGAGGCCGCCCTCGAGCTGCGCCGTGCTCGCGCGCATCTTGGCGCCGCGCACCTCTTGCAGGTCGCGCAGCAGCGAGCGCACCTCGGACGCCGACGGCACGTCGTCGCCGGCGTGCGCGAGCAGCATCTCGGCGAGCTCGAACCAGTGGTAGGGCAGCGCGCCAGAAGGCGCGGCGGCGGTGCAGGATGGCAGAAACGGGGGTGACAGGACCGTCTCGTGTTCGTCGTCGTTATGGTCGTAGCGGTCGATGCGGCGCGCGTTGCCACGGGCGTCGGCGCGGACGGGTGGCGGGGGAGGAGGCGCCCAGCCGCTCGTGTCGGTCGTGGTCTCGTGCTGGATAATGTCGCGTAGGGACGCAGGGTGTAGCCAAGCTGGGGCGACAATGTTGGCGCGCCGCTGCTTCTTTAGCAGGATGGCGAGCCACAATGGTATGTCGCTTCGTCGCGGCGGTCGGAGGGGTGGCGTGGGACCCTGCACGAGGTAGAAAAACAGTTAGCATAAAGGCGAGACGGCGGCGGCGGCTTCGAGACTTGGGGAAGAAGGGGAGGGGGGGGTCGTCGCGACGCGATCCCACGTACTCCGAGGAGCTCAATGCTGTCGAGCCGTTGCCGTGGCACGACTGTGACGAGCTCCATTTCACAGAGAAAAGCGACTTCAGTCGGGACTGGCCCGCTTGGCAAGGGGAGAGCCATTCTTGCCAAGTAAAGTCACGATATGAAATTCAGTTTTTAAAACGAAGGTGGGTTGGTCGATGGGTGGTTTCATGTCCAAAAAAAAAAGTTGCCCCTCCAATGTGGGCGGTTTACAGGCGGTTTAGCGCCTGCTTGACGCGTTGACGCGCACGTGCAAAAAGCACCGCCTTATTATTAAAGATGGCTTCGTACCCTATGTGATTTCATCCACAAATCAATTTGCTCCTTTTTCACTGCAATGTTGAGAGTCGAATCGGACAAGTGCTGGGAAATGCAAATGAGGCAACAAGTCGTTGTCGGTAATCCACCCGTCATGAATTTTTCGGCCCCGGGGGGTTTAGCACTTGCGCAACGTCATGCTGCAGACTGCTTGCTTGTAAATATGCAGGCTGAGGCTGATGGTGCACCACACAGTTGATGTTCTTGGTCCCATCCTTCTATTACTGATCAGAATTGTCCAGTAGTAGTCAGCCACTTGGTGTTGTGGGATGTAGCACAGCCATTATTCATGCGTCTTACTTCCATCACCATCTCGAGTACCGCCGCAGCTACAGTGCCTTTAAAGAGCTCAAGCTCAAAACTGCATGAAAGGGCTCAATTACTGTGCAAGAAATGACTGTGTAAGAATCCAATCAAAACACTTTCCACAACCCAAAGTATGAGCTTTAACGGTAGTTGTACACATTTATTAGCCTCGAAGAACGTGCACCGCTTACGGGGTCGACCGAGGATGACTGCATACGTGTATCACAGATAGTCGTAGCCTGGGCACACAGGGAGCGGCATTAAAATGATAGTATTGGGCTTTCTGTGTCTAATCTTTTTTTTGGAAGTATATAAAAAGGAAAAACACCGTTACCCCCGCGCCAAATCGAGAATCAATGGCCGAGCCGTGCCATCTGCCAGTTCGACCAATCCCATTATTGTCTTAACGCGACGCCTCATTATGGTAGACAACCACCTGATCCTTCTCCACAGTGGCAATGACATGATTTTCCTCGTCTCTGACTTGACCAGTGCATACGTACTTCTTGAAACCCCTTGTAGAAATGTGCTGTTTTTCGCCAAAGCAGTCAGTAACAAAGTGCAGCAAAGGTTTGGATCATTAACGATCACGCCTGGATGAACATGCGTGGCGAGGGAGTCATGACTCACATTGAGAAACATTTCATCAATCTCTTCCAAAGTGCGGTCCTTGGTCTCCGGAACATCGATACCGACCCAAAGCCAGCCGAGTATTGTGCATCCTCCAAAGATGAAGCCCAATTTGACGCCAATGTTGGCATACTGCGGGTTGACGAGGTACGGGGATCCACACGCAATCAGCATGGCCGAGAGCCAGTTTACAGTGGTGGACATGGACAGCGTCTTGGAACGCAGGGTGTTGGACGGGATCTCCGTGAGCACGGTGATGGGAAGAGAACCCCAGCTTATCGAGTATGTGAACAAGTATATGCAGACGCAAGTGATGAGAAGATTGGCCGCCGCGATGCTGTTGGGCTTGGCCGTGCCGACAATGGCAAACAAGAGCATGCAGCTGCCGCAGATGGCACTGCCGTTGAGAAGCAGACGTCGTCGTCCGACTTTGCGCACAAGCGGGAACGCAGCAATGGAACCGGCGAGACCGCAGCAGCTGGTGATGACGGTTGTGAGGAACGGCTGCTTGATGCCGGCTAGCGCGAAAAACAGTGTCCCGTATCTGCAAAGTTATTGTCAGCGGGTTCATGTCAGGTGGCTTCTGTTTAAGCGCTGGGAGACAAGCTCAGAAAAAGTCGCACAGGCTGTTGTGCAAATCTATGCCCTCGTTGCTGGTCGCTCATAAGAATACGTACCCTGCGATGAAGGAGATGCCGGTGAAGGATTGGAAAAGAACAAAGATGAGACAGATGCGGGTTCTTCTGGCATCGGTATTTCGGAAGCAATCCTTGTATGTGCCGGAGCCTTCTAGGCTGCATTCCAGCTCATGCATGGCTGACATTTCGCGGACCTCATTCTCCAGCTCCTCGTCGGGCCACGTCGAGCCTCGAAGCTTCTTGAGGGCTCGAACGGCATCTTCGGGGCGGCCCCGAGTGATGTACCATCCTAAAACGTAGGAAGAGATTGGTCAGTCATTGCCTACGCCGGCTTGCTTGATCGGACTAGGGCGGTTACTCACTAGGGGTTTCGGGCAGCAGATGAATGAGGCACAGCATAATGGCCGGAGCAATCATCATGACCATGACGGGAGTTCTCCATGCCCATTTGCTGGTAAGGCCATGCGAGCCTTGAATAATGCAGGCGCCGATGAAGGCTGTGAGATTGACGAGACCTTGGTACAGCATGCTAATCGGACATGTTGTCAGAATTATGCGTACAGGGAATAAGTAAGGGAGAGCGGGAAAAAAAGAAAAATGTGAAACTCACGTAATCAATCCTCGGTGCTTTGCAACGGCAACCTCACTCCAGTAGACGCCGCAAAAGTTGGAAGCAAAGCCGATACCAGCTCCAGTCAAGACACGGCCGAAAATCATGACCCCCATATTGGGGGCAAAGACCTGAATGAGGGGCCCGACCAGGGACGTAAGGGAGCAGGCGTAGAGACCCGACTTGCGGCCGTACATTGTGCCTAGAGGCCCGGAGGCGACACTCGCGACAATGGCGCCGACAAGCAGCAGGCCAAAGAGCATGGTCTGGCCGCCGGCGGTGATGATGTGCTGACCGGTGGCCGGGTCGATGGAGCCAAAGTCCTTCTGGAAGCGAGGGATGACAATGGTGCCCGAGATGGCAGCCTGGTCAAACCCGAACAGGACAGGGCCGAGGGCGACGACGAAGCAGTACCCAACCGTCTTCCAGTTGCTGCGGGCCCATTGGTCGCCGACCGCAACGGCGGCGGCGGCATCGGTGGGCGTCGACATTATTTCTTTCTGCAAGGAATAAGAAAGAAAATGGTAGACGACGTTTGCGGTTGCAAGGCCCAGCAGAAAAAAAAAAAGTATGTAAAACGAGGCTGCAATGCAACTGGTAAGAGGAAAAGGCGTAGGATTACTTGGGAGAATGAGGTTTGAAGGAGGAGGAGGAGGAGAGAGTAAACTGGAGAACCTGAGACCTTAGCAATCGGGTTATTTCTCTTTTGGGGGATGTTTGACAAGTTATTAATAGTTATTCTTGTATTCCCATCAGGCAAGTAGTTCACCATCATGAGATGAAAAAGGGCACCCACCCCCGGTCCCGGACAATTCTTTCATAGAAACGACAAGGGCAAACCCACACCTCCGTACCTCCTGCTGCTAGCGCACCCCTGCAGCCCCCCGGATACGCTAGTTGGAGGGGACCGGGGGACCCTGGCACTCACTGCCTGGCACTACCTGGCACTACCTGGCACCCCAGCTCTTTTCGCAGCATTCAGCCAACCAGCTCCCCAAAGCTTTTGCCGGTGAGACCGAGTCTCATGATCAAACGCCCTGAATGCGGGGTCATCGCTTCTTTCTATGGAGAAGAACAAAATTTGGGGACTTGATTGCGGGGGGTGGAGACAGTCTTTTGCCCTTCGAGAACAGCCTAAATCGAAACTAAAAAAGTCTCCAAGTGGGCATCGAAGCAAGCGAAGGCTTGATTGATTGAGCCCCGTTTGAGCACCGTTGGTATTGGGCGGCGCCTCAGGCAGGCCTTGGCCTCTTTTTCTTTACCACGCGGTACTCCGAGCGTCTTTAATGGTGTGTGTGAATGGGCAAACCAACAATAATAAATCTGCAAGCAAGGAAAATATTGGTGGATCCTGTCAACACCACCCATTGTTGACCTGCATTCAGCCGCAAACTCGCGGATACCTACCTACCTACGTTGTGCTACGTACGTAGGTACGTGGGCAGGGCCTGTGATTCACATCCCACCAGTTCTTCAACGGTGAGTTTATTTAGTTGACGTACGGACCCAGCCAGCAAAAGCGGGCCAAAACAAGTTTCTAGGATTGTGGAATGCGGCAGCGAGCCGAAAACAAAAAACACGTTTCGCAATTTTAAATCAACATCAAGGAAACCCATATAAAGCTTTCATGCAAAGGTGCTTCAGTCACACTCAAAAAAAGCTAATGAAATCAAGCATTGATAATTACACAGATGCACATCATAACCGGGTCCGCCGAAGCTTCCCAAAGATTGTTGTAGACAGCTTTCAATAAAATGAGCCTCAAACGTACGGGCGCACACAAAAGATTCATGGGCTGTGCTGAACGATGCTTCCCGCACCTCGCCACCTCGTACTCACCGTTTGCGTAGGTAGTTTATCATGTTGTTGTTGTGTGGCGTTGGTTGGCGAAAAATTGGGCTTCCTTCCTAGCAAACTATCGAACCCTCCGCAAAGCGCCACGTGTGAATATTTACTCGTGAGCCCTCTGCGCCCGCACAACAGCACATGGCAGGGATGATTTATGAGTCGACAGCTTGACGCAAAATACGGGTGATGATGGAGACTCCGGTTCCTCAAAATCGATGTCTTGACAAGACAATGGCCGGTATCGCTGTCCAAAAGCAGCGGTCTGTCGGGCTCCGATAGGCCGTTGACTATTTATCCCGCATTTGCATTCTGCGCATTCTGCTAGCATGCCAAGAAGAACCGGCATATCCTTTTATTCACTTTCTATGCCATGTGAGGATGTCCATAGATACTAGTCAGTCTTTTTAATCACTGATGAGGACGTACATTACAGGTACCTTGGGACTCGGGCAGTAATTGACTAGGAGTGTATCTTACAACCCCCCTTAAAAAAAGAAAAAACAAAGTATGGGTCACTAAAATTAGCCGTTGTTGTTGAAAGAGACCAGTTCAGATCTTGTAGACATCCAAATTGATATTGGAAATATCGGAGACGGAAAAGTCGAGTTACAAGACACTCTACTTTAGTCTTGTCAGTCAAAGCTCTTTATAAGCCACTTCCACAGTTTCACATCACTACTACACACCTGTTCTTAACTACAAGCTAAAGCTAAACGGAAGTAGTTGTATTCATAGGTTCTATTTCCAAGTCTATCTAGGATTCACTCACCTCTGGCGCGGACTCTTTCACCTCGGCTGGCAGATGCTTTTGAATAATTCTTGGGTCCCAACAAAGATCTTTACCCTGTAGGAATTGCTCCAGCCTTTCTTCCGTATTCACCAGTGATGCCCAACGCGGCGTGTCAAGTTTCCGAGTCGGGATTTTGGCTTCACCGCAGAAGCGAGCCACATGGTCGTTTGGTCCAGTAACCCGTGGCCAGGCTTCGTTGTCGTATGCCAAGTTCAAGGCCGCGCCGCTGAATGCATCCGCTGTTGCGCGGACCTGCGAATCTTTTGTTGGTTTTGTCACACCAGGGAAGTAAAAGAAGAAAGCATTGTCCAGTGAGTGGTACGCATGATCTTTGAGCAGTGCATTGGTCGCCATTGTGTCTTTTTGCTCGAAGCTGTACACATGGACCTCAGCCGCACGTGCTGAGAGACCGGCAGTCTCTGCAGACTGGTCATTTTTGAACTGTGTTTCAGCAATAGCGCGAACAGCATTGTCGAAAATTGCGTCATTGAGGTAGTCGACGAGGGCGTCGGCGACGCGGGAATTCTCTACCGATGCGGTGGCATCGATTCCACTGTCCACATCGGCTACACCATACGTGGCGAAAACCTCTTCCGCATAACCTGGCATAGTGAATACGCTTTTCCATGCTTTCAACAAACTGATGGGCGGCAGGCTCTTCCAGACACTGCCCATGAGCGCAAGCTCTTCCGCTGTTTGGCCAACCACCACACGATTCGCCCAGTTTGGAAACGACGAAACCTCAACGAATTTTCCAGCTGGCCAATTGTCAAAAAAGATTGGATCTTCAGACAACATAAACTCCAGTCTATTTTCTCCAAGCTCGTCGAGGCGCTCGAAAGGCAGTTGCCTCAGCGTCTCGAGCTTGTAACTTACACTTTCATTGGAGATGCCCAGCGTCTCGCAAGCTTTGTCAAAGGTGACTTGCGTCTCCGCAACAGGACACGGCGCTACAGTGGCGGGAGACATGAGTAGTGCGTTGCGAGCCACCGGCTCGTGGCTGCGGAGATGGGCAAGGACCGAGATGGCACCAGACGACTCTCCAGCGATCGTGATGCGCGACTTGTCGCCACCAAAGAAGTGAATGTTGTCACGTACCTGCAAGACAAGTGTTAGCATTCTGCGCCAGGAAACTTTAACACAGGCCGAGAGAGTGTGAACAATTAAAAAAAAAACCTTAACCCCAATAAGGCAAGTGACTTACCCAATGTAGTGCCAGTCTCTGGTCATGGAAGCCAAGATTAGCGTAACCTTTCTCGCCTCGATCGCACGCCTCTTGGCGTAGCTCCTCTGAGCTGAAAAAGCCCAACATTCCAAGCCGATAGTTGATGCCAACGACTAGCACAGGCTGCTGGGTCTGCATAGAGCGAGCAACAAGGTATTGTCCATCTACAACGAATCAGAGAATTTGTTAGATGATTCGTTCCAATTTACGATAGCCCATGGACCAGCCTCAATAAACGTCTGGAATAGTCGACGCAGTACTTACCACATTCACATCCACCATCTCCCCATCGAAACGAGCCACCATGAATCCAAACAATCACTGGGAGCAGTGTAGAAGCGTTCTGCCCGACAGAGGCATTGGGCAACGCTATCGCAGGTGCATAGACATTCAGATTGAGACACTTGAGCTCATCGGTAGGATCCAAATGGGAAAGGCGCGGATAAAGATGCCCTGTCAGCGTATGCATTTCATCGATTGACTGCGGCGGCCGTGGTCCCCATTGTGTCGCCTGGACTTCGCCGCGTGGGTAGTCCTTCAAATTGACAGGTACAGCCTCGTGCCACCTGCCGGGTATTTTTGCATACTCAAGATTGCGGAAGCTAGCAACTAAGGCCTGGTCCGGTAGCAAAGGTTGTGAGAGCAGCCCATTGAGGGAAAGATCATCAACCGTAAGGCTGACTCGCAAGTTGACGGAAGAACTGGGAGTAGTCTTGCAGTCCTTGAGGATGCCACTTGAAGCAGTGGCCAACATTGCGCGACAGTTAACCTTGTAATCAGATGGTTGCCAGAAAACGAACGAGTGCTGCGACGGTCAAGGGGCTCAAACAGTAAGGATATAGTACCTGGCCGGGTTTAAGAAGAACTTGTAGATCGGAAGCTATCAAAATAAACCCTCATCCACGGAGTCGACGGGTTCGGGAAGATGCGATTCCCGTCAGGGCAAGAGCCATTGATGAACAGGGCGCAGGTCGCACCTGGAGCTCCGGGTGCATTGAATCAATTATTGGGAACCCTCCACAACCACCTCCTTTCCGAAGACCACCTGATTAATAATTCCTAATGCCATTGAATCTGGTGTTTATTTTTGGTAGGTAAAGCAGCAATCAGGCTGTAGTCCAACTGGCGGGTGTACAGTGGATGTAAACAGCGGGATCGATCAGTTTAGTCTGTGGCATTGCTATTGACAGAAGGTATGTCGCCGATAACGGCCGCTAACCAACCCAACTCTTGTTCAAGGAAAGAACTCATTGACGACTCAAATGATTGCAGATCTGATTTGCTTAGGCGAGAAGAACATACCGAACAATTGCAGGAGTTCAAGCCTAAATCACATTCCTCTAGCTAACATAGGTTGTGGGAAAGAAGTAAAAGTTATGCGATGCGCTTTGCTCCAGACTATTCATCTATTCAGCATTTAGTTTAGTGTAATCTATCGTCGAGAATGGATCATTGGTAGGATCAGTTTGACGCGTATACTCCTGCGTCTCAGCTATGCTCGCGGCGACATCTTCACCATATTGTTGAGCCACAAAGGCAAACATTGCGTCCATGCCAGCTGTAACTCCAGAAGCCGTCCAGATTTTGCCTGTATCCACCCACCGCGCCCGCCGCACCCATTCTACCTTGGGGCTGCCCTCCTTGGACGCCTCCACCACCCAGTCAAAAGCGCATTTGTTTGTAGTCGCTCTGACATTGTTGAGCAGACCTGCTCTGGAGAGAATAACCGTGCCAGTACAGATGGTGATGACGAAGCGCAGCTTGGAAAATCTCGCGTGGAGAAAGTCCACTATCGGCTGGGTTGTCTCTGGCTTGCGCGTGCCCTGGCCGCCCGGAATGATGAGCACCTCAATATTGTCCGGCGCATCGTCAAAGGTGTGCGTGGGCAAGACCCATTGCTCAATGGTTTGGTGCGCGTCTGGTGCTGCTGTCGATACGGCATCCTTTGTCGCGGCCAGGACGGAAAGGGAAATCTTGCGGTTGCTGTCTTTGTCGCGTCGAGACAGAAGATTCAGAGTGTCCAGAGGCCCAAACGCATCAAGAGCCTGGAAGCCCTCGAACAAAGCAACAGCAAACTCTGTTGGTGGTGCTTCTGTAGTAGGTGCCGCCATTGCCACGTTGGTGTTTCGATCACGGGCCGTAATGGTCGAGGGTTTCGAGTCGCTTTTTGGGGCTGAGACTTGAGTAGGCAACGTTAACTACTACACTGCAGCCGCAGAAATAAGCAGACACATGATATATAACTAACGCGGGCTCACAGTGACCACATTGATTCTTCTCGGAGGCATAGTGGCGGGTCCACGACGACTTTGAGAGGATTGTAGATGTAATCCATAACGCAGGGCGTTAATTTGAAGGGTGACACGACATGTCCCCGATGCCGATGCATGATGCCACCGCAGTCTCGGATGCACAGTCCGGATGGCCATATAAAACCCGTTGGATGGGGGGACGCGGCAGGTGGGGGGGGAGGACCGAGGCGAGTGGGTAGCAAGCAACTGACAAGTGGTACAGGAGATGAGGAGCTAGCAGGGCTAGTGGCTCGTAATAAGAGGCGCAGGGTTCGACTGGTCGAATGGCATAGAGCGGTTCGGCCGTTGGAAGACAGCCACACTACTCCGTACACTATTTTACTCGGGTCAGATGAACGAAGTTAGGTTGGTGTTGCAATTGCAGCCTAGCCCAGCCTTCTGTGGCGATCGCGGGCGCAAAAGCCAAGCCTGGCTCCTATTGGTCACGATGCGGGATTGCCCCATTTTATGCATTATCGCTTGTCGCATCATCCCCAGATGCAATGATGGGACGAGGCACAATGGCACACAACAAGAATCATCAACTAGAATAACCAACAATCGGCTTCCGCAATCCCCGCATCTTCGATTTTCATCTATATTCTTTTCCAAAAGGCTTCATCCGTAAATCGATGCTCGAAAAGTCACAGGGAGCGACCCTTGCCAAGCAGCTAATTTGGTACGGGGATTAGCTTCAACAAGGGCAAGCAAAGAGGCAAACATGGCCAGCACCAACGCCCGCACATGAACGCCTCTCAACGCCTCGTAAAGGTTGACGCCCCACACGTGATTCGACAGTTGCTGTTAGGACCAACGTTCTTTCCCCCTCTGCCCCCCGGAATAGATTGTGGTATTTCCCAAACCACTCGTCTTCCGACAATAATGCTCCATGTCCTGTTAGCCGGTGAAACCTGCCGCCAAGAATACTGTCATGGTAGCCAGCGCAAGGTCTCGTAGGAACGGTGACCGCTCCGAGCCTGGGAAGCACATATGTCCGTTGTGCGGAAGACGGTTCGACCGGAGGTTAGTCTTTGTCCCCTTGCCAGCCGTTGCCGCCACACTTACAGTGCTGACGATCGCATTGTATTAGCGACTCACTCAAGCGTCATGGCCGGACTCATGATGGTGCACACAGAGGTCGAAAAAATAGGAAGCGATCCTGTCTGGCTTGTGCAAGGTACGTATCAATTATTCTCAATGATTCAGTCATTTGTTCCCGGTCCGTCGGCAAAGCATGGTCATGTCAAGATCATGTTGCAGCAACTCACTGTTGTACTCAAACCAACACATTCCTAAACTAAAGTCTTGAAACTCAACCTTGGCTGTGCAATCACTAACGTTTCTTTCTTTTGGACATGACAGCGCAAAGACCAAGTGCAGCGAGGAGGTCCCTTCCTGCGAACGCTGTGACATCAAAGGTCTAACTTGTGTATATGCAAGCGAAAAGCTCCAACCTCGTAACGATGACTTGGACTTGGAGAATCACACTTGCCCAGAAGGCGGCGAAACCGGTGAAATTGTTGTATCAGGTGTCGCAGGGTCATTTCCTCTTGCAACCACGGCGACGTTGTTCAACCCGTCGTTTCCTGACCAACAGCTTTTGAGCCACGAGCTTGTCCCATCGCAGATGGACGTGAGCTACACAGAGGCCTTGCTTGATGATTCTGGAACCGTGGAGCAGCAGCCCGAGCCAGCTTGGTGGTCGCAAACGGCCCTCGATCAATTCATCGGAGTGGCAGACTTCTATCCAACATATACCAGTCCTTCATCCTGGGAGTGGCAATCTCCAACTACCACTCTCAACATGATTCCAGGTCCTATCTCGCCCGTGGCATCTGCAGCCGCCGTCGCCGCGCCTTTGTGTTATCCATTTGGTGCAGTCCCATCTGGAAGTGTTCTGCCAAAGACGGAGCCGCAGCTATATTACTCTAATTCCACCGGCAGTGAGGTTCCTGCTCCTGTATCCAACCCTCTCAGTAATGGAGAGCCACCTGATCGCATGGCAGTAACTCTGGACAAGCCCTCATCACCGACGCCCGGACACCGGCAGCCTGAACGGCCTACTAAGACGCTTCCTGCACTGGCTGGCGGACCACAAGAACCGTTTCCTATTCTTTTTTCTATTCCTCCAGCTACATCTGCAACACGCAAAAACTTGGAGAATTACCTGCGGCTACCTCTAACGCAAAGTCTTTGGACACCCATGTCGATAGTGGAATTTCCATCCGCCCCTCAGCTTGACTACTTCATCGATTTATACTTTGCTAACTTCGACACGGTACTGCCTCCTACTACAGCAAATCTTTCACACTACTTACAGCTGCTAACCTGGTGTTTTACAAGCTCCTGCCGATGATTCATCGGCCTACGTTCGATCTTGGTGCTTATCCTGTTCTCACCTTATCAATGTGTGCCATTGGCGTCCTTTACTCCGACTTTGAAAACGCTCGTGCATTCAGCAAGGCACTCTGTGAGCTTTTGCGCCGTCTATTTGTGTGCATGGTAAGTACCTTTGCTGCTCAGCTTTGACATCTCGCTCGTCGAGCAATTCGAAAGTAACATGTCATCTTAGAGTGAACAAAATGCCATGGTAACTCGAAGTTACGAGTTCCTTGCGGCGCAAACGCTACAATCAGTGCTGAGCAACAGCAGCAGTGGTAAACGTCTGTTTGAGTTTGGCGACAATAATCGGAGTCTTGTCGTCGCCAGCGCCCGCGCCGCTGGCTTGTTTGCAAATCGCCGACCTAAAGCCGCTTCGGATAAATCTAACGGAGCGTCCAGTGTACAGGAGCAGTGGTTGTCGTGGATACAAGCCGAACGCTTGCGCCGTCTGGCATGGTCAATATATGTAAGCATTGCCAACATGGTGGTGGCGAGTTCGCGATGCAAGTGGGTGTTCGTTGTAGGTCGTTCTACTGCTGACATTATTATTGCGGTTGTATCAAGATCTTTGATGCTTCAGCCACGTATTATCGGAACTGCAGGCCGCATCTCTCCTTGGTTGAGATGAAAGTCGACTTGCCGGCTTCGACCAGTCATTGGGAAGCAGAGTCTTCGCGAGCATGGGCATCATTGCAGCCATGGACGAATGGCGCACCTCCACGAAATGCGTCGTTTCGAGAGACGTTGGAACGCCTCGTAGCACGACATTCAAGCAGTTCACTGGGACCTGATGCGACCCAGTCGTTGTCTCCTGACTCGTCAATCTCATCTACGACGCAGCGATTGGGTAGAAACGCTGAAGAAACCGATGAGTTTCACCTCATTCTCATGACTACGACTTTGCTGCGCACAGTATGGGACTATCGCGACTGCGTTCTGTCGCTACAGGGCCCGGCTCCCATGCCTGAACTGTTCACGCACTCAGTTCCTTCCAAAGACATGGACACGGCGCTTTCCCTGCTAACCACTCTCGCAGCGACAGCCCCATTGGAAGCTATAGCGAGTGCGACCGGAGCTGGCTCGCAGTCCTTCAACGGTCTCAGTGGGTTGCATGAGGAGCGACAATTCCATGGTCTTGTACATAGGACCAGGATCTCTCTTGTCGCTCAGATTATTGCTGCAGATCAGATCAGCAATCATTTGGATGCCGAGTGGCGTAGAGGAGCAGCTGCAGGAGATCAAAATGTGCGGGAAGTTGCAGCGGAGCGGCTGCGTGCATGGGGAGAGACATATCCCGTTGAAGTGCGTCGCATGGCCCGAATTGGCGCGCAACTTTTGTCAATATCCAGATTGTATCCATATCACATGCCGCGCGAACCTTATGACGCCTTTCGCGCCGGACTGCTCTTATGGACCATGGCGCCTCTCATCCGAGCCGCCACTCCGGTGGCTTCCTCACAGGCCTCGCCTGCTAGAGCCCCTACCCATCGGCGTGTGTGCCAGTTGGACTGGCTTGGAGACCAGAACAGCCCTGAGGGCGCTTGTCTACAAGAGTGGATTGATCACGGCGGAGATCATTTCGTGCTTCGAATGCACGAAATACCCGACATCTGTACAAGGCAGGGCAGTCGTCAGATTCTTCTGAGCACGTCAAAAGTGCTGCAAAAGCTTCACGTCTGGGGCGCCTCGGAGGTGTATCGGGACATTGTGCTGCGAGCCTTGCGTGAGGATGAAAGGGCGCACAGGGATGACAATCCGGCTGCATCCGCATAATTCTGCATAATTTGTCTTATGGCGAGGAATTATTCCGCTATGATCACTAATTTGCCCCAATGTATATATTGATTGATACGTTGAGAGCGATGCTCGCGGAGTTCCGTGTGGCGGGAGAGGCGCTGTTGCCGGGGCTGATGTGTGCGGATGCGGGATTGTCCGAATCGTCATGTCATTTCAGTGGGTGGTCTGATTTCCGATGGAATATTGGAGTAATGAAACTTATTACTACGGGAAACTGCATTGCCTGTACATGACTTGTCACCAGTCCAACTGATGTTCGATCAACACGGCCAACGAGTAAGCATGAGTGCGATCCCGCCTTATCGCACGAAGCTCTTGGCTTTACATCGAGACCTCGTGTCGATTGATTCTGTCACTGGCCGCGAAAATGAAGTCGGCGAATTTCTAGTTGCACATCTTGAAAAGAATGGATACCAGACCAGTCGACAAGTATTACCCAACCGCAGCGACACACCAGCCGATCGCCCTCGCTTCAACGTCCTCGCCTGGCCCAAGCGCAAAGCAACCTCTTTGGAAGATGTAAGCGCTCCTCGGCTGCTCGTCACGGCGCACATTGACACAGTACCGCCACACATACCTTATTCCATCGACAGCGGTGAAGTTACGGTCGACACCAAGATCCACGGCCGGGGCAGCTCCGACACCAAAGGCGCCGTCGCCGCGCAGATTGTCGCCCTGGACGAGCTGCTAGCCGAGGAACGTGTCCGGCCCGAAGACGTCATGCTGCTGTACGTTGTCGGTGAGGAGGAAGGCGGAGACGGCATGCGGCACTTTTCGCGCGTGCTCAACGCGCGATGCAACGGCGACGACGGCGCTGCCTCTGCCTCTGCCTCGGATGCAGCGGCGCTCCTCCAACGCCTGCCGCTGGCCACGGGCTTCGACGCCGCCATCTTTGGCGAGCCGACGGAGGGCAAGCTCGCGCGGGGCCACAAGGGCCTCATCATCTGCACGGTAAAGGCGCGGGGGCTCGCGGGCCACAGCGGGTACCCGTGGCTGGGCAAGAGCGCGAATGAGCTGCTGGTGCGGGCGCTTCAGGGCCTGCTGGACGGGGACCTGGGCAGCAGCGAGCGCTTCGGGCGGACGACGGTCAATGTCGGCGTGATGAGGGGCGGGGTGGCGGGCAACGTGATTCCCGAGGCGGCGGAGGCGTCGCTGGTGCTGCGCGTGGCGACGGGGCCGCAGGCCGACGGGCACGAGCAGGTCAAGCAGAGGATGCTGGAGATACTGAGAGACGTGGACGCCGAGGCGTTTACCGTCGAATGGGGTGCTAGCTTTGGCGCCGTCCCGTGCGATTACGATGTAGAAGGTAACGTGAATCTGCTTCTTGGAGGGTGATGTAATGCAGCTGCTGACAAGTCGTCGTAACGGTAGGCTTCGAGACGTGCGTGGTGAACTTTGGAACGGATGTTCCCGGCCTCGAGGGAAATCATGCGAGATATCTGTACGGCCCGGGGAGCATACTGGTCGCGCACGCGGACCATGAGCACTTGACGGTGGGGGATATGGATCGCGCTGTTGTGGACTACAAGAAGCTCATTGAACATGCTCTGGCGCGGAAGCCTGTCCAATGTCCTGGCGAAGGGGTGTGAAAGGAATACTACGCAACACAAAAGAACAAAAATCAAGAAATTTGAGTCGCTCATTGCGGTATTTCATATCTACTTGGAGCACTGTATCGCAATCGGCGGCTGAAAGAGGAGCAGCAAGGAATTGCCAGATTCCGTGTAAGTGAGCGTCGGTGGGAGCCGGAAAACGCCGGTGGTAGCTATTTGGCCCCCCGTGGCGAATCTATTGCTTGTTATTGAACGCCGCTCGATTTTGAGAACTGGTGGCCGTATTCAACATGGCCAAAAGAAATCCTCATTTCCGTTGCTTTCTCCATTTGGGGTCTTGTCAGGATGAAGCTGCTGGTCGACGAAGAAGAATGTTCTCTACAAGTATAACACAACAACTAGCAAATCCAAAGTCAAATACCCCAACGATGGAATAATTATTATGATGATTGGCTCCTAGCTGATTGAATGCCTGTGACTCACGATATATTCAAGGCTTCAGTGCCGCCCCAGGTAGACAGTCATCGGCGAAGCGCAGCGGATCCAGAATGCTGGGGAAGCTTGTCCGCAACGGCGCGCCCTCTGAACCACATCACTAGTTTTAAAACAAGGCAAGTCTGATGTCTCAATCATATCATCCATTGCCATAACTAGAGCCTTTGCCCATTTAAGGCTTGGTTTTGTTGTATTCTTCTTATTCTTCAATTTTCATCTTCATAAAGTCCCAAGCCGACCAACCCGTGTGTACACATCAGCGCTAACCCCCCCGCCCTCCATCATGACTTCTTCATCCCTCCCCCCCGCCTCCTCCCCCTTCGTCGTCCTCGCCGCCGCCTCCCCCTCCGAGCACCGTCACGCGTGGCGCGCCACCCACCCTTCCTGGGGCCGCGGCCTCACCCTCGCGCAGTACATTGCGCGCGAGGAGCACCTCCTCACCCACACGGCCCTCGCCCGCGACGGCGGCCTAACGCCCTGGATCCTCACCACCACCACCGCTGGCGACGATCCGCGCCCGGTCCTCTCTAGCTGCGAGACTCTGGCGAAGCGCGCCATTGTCGCGAGCCCGGACGGGAGTAGCGTCACCGACGTTGTCGCGCACGGCGTCGCGAGCGTCTTTACAGAGCCAGGGTACCGGTCCCGCGGCTACGCGGGCAGGATGATGGAGCTGCTCGGCGCGGCGCTCGCGCGGAGGGAAGAGGCCTCGCCGGGGGCTGCCCGGTTCTCGGTGCTGTTTTCCGATATCGGGCCGCGGTTCTACGCGAACCATCAGTGGAAGCCAATGGGCAACATGCACCTCGCATTTCCCGTCGGCGGCGGCGGCGGCGGCGGCGACAGCGTGTCATCTACATCTACGCCCGCTTGCATCACTGAGCTCACCGACCAGCACCTCGAGGCACTCACCGCGCGCGACGAGCAGCTTCTCCGCGCGCAGCTCTCGCGGCCCATTGCCGACGCCGACGCCCGTCAAACTCTGCGCGTCGCCGTCCTACCCGACTACGCGACGCTCGAGTGGCACTTTCGGCGCGAGGACCACCACATGCCGGGGAACCTCCCCGGCCCGGCCACTCCTCGGGTGCGCGGCGCGCTGTACACGCCACCAACGCCTGGTAATGACGCCAGTGACACCCGCCGCCGCGTCTGGGGGTTCTGGGTGCGGTCAAGGTCCGACGGCGCGTCGTCGTCGTCGTCGCCGGTCGTGACGGTCCTGCACTTTTTGCGGCTCGTGGTGGAAGACGACGCGCAGACGTCGGACGAGGAGCTGGCGGCGGCCCTCGACGGCATCATGGAGGTGGCGAGGCGCGAGGCGGCAGGCTGCGGGGCCAGCAGCGTCGAGATGTGGAATCCGTCGGCGAGGGTGGCCGCCGTGTTTCGGGAGAGGCTGCCGCAGCTCCAAGGCAGGATCGTGCAGCGTGACGAGAGCAGTCTGGCCAGTTTGCGGTGGTTTGGCGCCGGCTCGGTAGATGACGTGGAATGGGTCGCCAACGAAAAGTTTGCGTGGTGTTGATTAAATGCAACAGACATATGCGCTGTATCGGTCCGAGACTTTACGTGCGCTGCATTGGTCCAAAACTGTAGCAGTCGTGCATTGGTTGTATTGGTTTGAGAGTTCAAGTCTTTCTGATGCAGTGTTGCAACTATACTCCATTTCACAAAGCACCATCTCTCATCAATTCGTATATTATTTTCTGCACTCTATCATGACCATCAAGTCTAATGCCGGCAAGAAAACAATTAGTCAAGTAAACGCCGCCAATACATGTTCAAGTGCTTCGTCCCCGTATCGCCACATATATGCCTCGCAACCAATATTACTGTCAAATACAAACACCGGCTTCATAGTTCTTTCGCCGAGACGCGGCTCGGGAAGTTTAGTAGCTGCGGCCAAACATGGTCCACTTGTCGGCCTTGCCCTTGCATTCAGGGTTCAGGCACTCAGTTTCGCCAGCAACAATGCCCTCAGGCTGCTCAAAGGGAATGCAGAGCGACTTCATGCCCATCGTGGGAGGCTTTTGGTTCTCGGGAACATCAGGCTGCTCATCTACGCGAGTGGTGAGCTCCTTGATACGGTCCTCGCACTTGCCGTCACCGCAAAAGGGAATGAGCACAACATTCTTGTTGTCGAGAGCAGGAAGAACCTCGTCCCAGTTGGTAATCTTGAGACGGTGCTCACGGAACGAAGTCTCGGCCTTGCTATACATGTCCTTTTGTATGGTCTCGAGCAGCTCGGGGATCTTGGTGCTGAGCTCATCCAGAGCAACAGTGCCCTTCTCACCAGTATCACGACGAGCAAAGGAAACAACCTTGTTGGCAGCATCCTTGGGACCAAACTCAATGCGAAGGGGAACGCCCTTCAACTCCCAGTCGTTGAACTTCCAAGCAGGAGTGTAACCATCGCGGAAGTCGACATCGACGCGGACACCCGCCTTCTTGAGAGTGTGCTGAATGTCGAGGAGCTGCTCCTCGTGCTGCTTGCGAGCCTCGGGGGTCGTGCTCTTGTTGATACCGACGGGAATAAGAATCGTCTGCAGCTTGGCGATACGGGGAGGGAGCACGAGACCCTTGTTGTCACCGTGGACCATGACCATGACACCAATGACACGGGTGGACAGACCCCAAGAGTTCTGCCACACGTGAATGTGGTTGCCCTTGTTGGCAGGGTCCTCGACAGTAATGTCAAACATCTTGCTAAAGTTCTGGCCTAGGCAGTGAGACGTGCCGCCCTGGATACCACGGCCGTTGGAGGGAATGTAGCCTTCAACAGTAGTAGTGTAGTATCCACCGGCAAATTTTTCGTTTTGGGTCTTGCGGCCCTTGACGACGGGAACGGCAAGCAGCTCTTCATAAATGCCAGCGTACCAGTCGAGAATCTGTAGAACTTCAACACCAGCAAGTTCTTCATTCAGATGCGCCGTGTGGCCTTCCTGCCAGAGAAATTCGCGAGTGCGGAGGAAAGGGGTGGTTTGCTTAGCCTCCCATCTCACAACCGAGTTCCATTGGTTCAGTCGCAAGGGGAGATCGCGGTGGCTTCGGATCCATTTGGCATAGTAGGGGTACATGACGGCTTCGGAGGTTGGACGGACAGCGACAGGGACCTCGAGATCCTTATCACCACTGCGCACGGATGTTAGTATAATTATGTAAAGTGTGCCGAAAAGTTGCGAGTAACTGCTTACGCCTTGGTGACCCAGGCCAGCTCGGGAGCGAAGCCCTCGACGTGATCCTTTTCCTTCTCCAAAGATTTGGCGGAAAGGAACATGGGGAAGCTGGCTTCCTCGACACCGAGATTCTCAATGCGTTCCTGGAACCACTTGCGGATGGTGCTCCAGATGTACATGGAGATGGGACGGAGAACAAAGAAACCGGAGATTTCCTGGTAGTACTCGACCATTTCGGCCTTGAGGACGACTTCCTGGTACCATTGTGAAAAGTTGTCGGTTTTGGTAACGGTAATGCCGATGATATCGTCCGTCTTCTTGCCGCCGACGACGGGAAGGTTGGCTTGCTTAGAGGCATTCTTAGCAGCCTTTGCAGCCTTTTCGGCAGCCATCTTGGCCTGCTTCTCGGCCTTCTTCAAGGCGCTCTTGGATTGCTCGGTGACACCCTCCATTGCGGCGGAAAGGAGTCAAACGGGATACTTGGTGGAGCTTAAAAGCTGTGTAGGAGCGGTTGACTGAAGGGCGGGGTAGTTGAAGGTGCGGATCGGGTCTATAATTTTTCTCGCCGTGGAAAAACTCGCCCAAGCTTATATGTAAACTCGAAGGCGAGCGAGGGGGCGTTTGCGTCGTCTGAGTCACTGTGAGAAGCGAGACACGGTGGGCGGGCGAGGTCTGACAAGATTCGTTCGGGGGGTGACCACGAGAGGCGGGCTCTTCTTTTTTTGGTGGAGGGGAAGACCCTGCCCCGCGCCCACCAGCGCCTGAGCTCGGAGGGGCAGTCCGGGTTAGGGCAGGCGTGGCCAATCAGGAAATGGGGACCGGTCGAGACAACAAAAAGGTCAATGGGTGGCGCCAAAGCTTGATAGAGGCCCAAGAGCCAAGGCCGAAAGGCGGCTGTAGTTAATAGCAAGCAGCTCGTTTTCCACGGTGGAAAAGTTTGCGGGGCTGCTGCGTTGGAGAGCCGCTGGGACTTCTGAGCAGCGCTGTCGACAGGCACTAAGACGCATGCTGCACGCTAACAACAGTAAACGCTATCGCCACAGACTGCCCTGAAAGCTGAAGCTGCCTTACCTGTGGCTTTCATCCATCAGCCGTCGTCCACCTCTATCAAAACCCACCAAAATCTCGCCCCGGAACTGGAACAATCTCTCATTCCGAGCCATCCTCCCCCCCAAAAAAAGCTTCGAGGGGCAGATGGTCCACTGTGGAAGCTCGTGGTAAATTATAGCGTCGCGCAGGCAGAAACTCGATTCCAGGAATCACCACCACAATCTTTCCTTCTGCCAATCACCAGCGCCATCACGTACCGCTGCAGATATGGCGTCCATGTTTGAACAGCCAGGGAACGGCACTCTCTTTCTCGGTGGCCAAAAAATCTCCGGCTCCGACATTCGTGACCAAAACGGTACGCCTCATTGACGCCTCGCCGCCGCATCCCACCAAACTACCGTTGCTAACTCGTCTGCCCAACTCGCCAGTGCTGGCCACCCAAGCCATCGCAAATGTCGTAAAAAGCTCCTTTGGCCCCAGTGGCCTCGACAAGATGATGGTCGACGATATTGGTGTACGTTTCCGCCTCCAATTCTGTTCGCCCAGCTCTCCTACCCCTCGCTCTGTTACTCACCGCAAACTAGGACGTCACCGTCACCAACGACGGCGCCACCATTCTTCAGCTCCTCGACGTCGAAGACCCGGCCGGCAAGATTCTCGTCGAACTCGCCCAGCAACAAGATAAGGAAGTCGGTGATGGCACGACCTCGGTCGTTCTCATCGCCGCCGAGCTGCTCCGTCGCGGCAACGAGCTCATGAAGAACCGCATACACCCCACCACCATTATCACTGGCTACCGTCTTGCTCTCCGCGAAGCCGTCAAGTACCTCCAGGAAAATGTCAGCGTCAAAGTTGAGAATCTCGGCCGCGAGTCCCTTATCAACATTGCCAAAACCTCCATGTCCAGCAAAATCATTGGCGCCGACTCCGACTTCTTCGCCGACATGGTTGTCGACGCCATTACCACCGTCAAGACGACCAACTATAAGAACGAAGTCAAATACCCCGTCAAGGCCGTCAACATTCTCAAAGCCCATGGCAAAGGCACTCGCGAATCCATGCTCGTCAAGGGCTACGCTCTCAACTGCACTATTGCCTCGCAGGCCATGCCTACCTACATTCAGGACGCCAAGATTGCTATTCTGGACATGAACCTGCAAAAGGAGCGCCTGAAGCTCGGCGTTCAAATTACAGTCGATGATCCTCAGCAGCTGGAGCAAATTCGTGCCCGCGAGTCTGGCATGATTCTTGAGCGTGTTGATCTCATCCTCAAGGCGGGCGCTAATGTAATTCTTACCACCAAGGGCATTGACGACCTCGTACTGAAGATGTTCATCGAGAAAGGCGCCATGGGTGTCCGCCGCTGCAAGAAGGAAGACCTCAGACGTATCGCCAAGGCCACCGGCGGTACCCTGTTGAGTACCCTCTCGGATCTCAACGGTGACGAGAAATTTGATCCCTCCTACCTCGGCTCCGCCGAATCCATTTCTCAGGAGCGCATCTCGGACGACGAGTGTATCATCATCCGCGGGGCCAAGAACCATTCTGCCGCTTCCTTGATTCTGCGCGGCCCCAACGACTACACCCTCGACGAGATGGAGCGCTCCATTCACGACTCTCTTTGCGCTGTGAAGCGTACTCTGGAGAGCGGCAGCATCGTCCCCGGTGGCGGTGCCGTCGAGACTGCCCTTCATATTTACCTGGAGGAGTTTGCTGGCACAGTCGGCTCCCGCGAGCAATTGGCCATTGGCGAATTCGCTCAGTCGCTTCTGGTCATACCCAAGACGCTGGCCGTCAACGCCGCCAAAGATGCTTCGGAACTAGTCGCGCAGCTGCGCTCAAGACACGCGCTGTCCCAGCGCACCCAAGAGGTCGACGCCAACGACGACGAAAAGACGCTTGCCCGCAAAAAGGGCTACAAGAACTATGGTCTTGATCTCACGCGCGGCAAGGTTGTGGATGAGCTCAAGCTTGGTGTTCTCGAGCCCAGTATCAGCAAGGTTCGCCAGCTAAAGAGTGCCGTCGAGGCATGCATTTCCATCATGCGTATTGATACCCTTATCAAGTTGGATCCCGAGCAGCCCAAGGATGATGGCCACGGTCACTGAGAAGAGCAAGGCGAAGCGGATTGAGGACGATGCAAAAGAAATGAAGTAAAAAGCCTTTGTATGTAATTAGAGTAGATGGGTGGAAATATTACAAATGCAAAAAGTTGTCACAAGAGCGGAAAGCGTGGACAAGGAAACGCTTACTTTGTGAGATATAGAAGGGACGAAAGAAACAAATCCAGACCGTTCTATCAACATGTATATGTGCGCCATATATAACGCGGGATGGAAAGAAATAGCAGCATGCTATTGCACACATGTCAAACTGGGCCAACTGCATCAACAGTCACATGCGATTACTGGAAGAGTGCGGGGAGTTGGCGTCTTACTTTACGGCGTCGTGGACATAGGCAGTCTGCACTGAGGCTTCCAGGCAGGTGCGAGTTATACCAAAACGTACAGGTGGTTCTTGTAACAAAAGGAAATTGATTCATGGAACATTTAAATTTGTACAATGTTGCCTGCAGCGTTTCCCCCAACGTCTAATAAAAAGGGTAACGGGGATATCCATGACTGGTGGCATTGTCCTCGTACCTTTCCTCTTCCTGCCCTCTTTGCGCTCTCCCCAATGAAAATCACACATTTTGCTCTCTAATGCCTTAATTTGGTTCCTCCCTTCATTTTTCAGAAAGAGAAACTCAACAACAAAAAGAACACCCCCTTTGATATTGTTACAACGCAGGATGGCGTGTTGTGCGTGTATTTTTTATTTTGCTTGTCACGAATGCTCCTCTTTTCTTCTTGCAGATTTTTGCCGAGGCTCCATTAACCAATGATGAGCTTGTCCTCCTCAGGAAATTCGTAGGCGGGAATCTCGAGGTTAAGAGGCGCAGGGCCTCGTCTTATGCGGCCGGAAATGTCGTAGTGGGAGCCGTGGCAGGGGCAGAACCAGCCACCAAAGTCGCCAGCCTCGCCAATGGGGACACAACCCAGATGGGTGCAGACACCTATTGATGGGGTTAGCTTTTCTCTTCCGTGAGAGTCGGGGTGATCCTTGCGAGACTTGCCCAACATGACGAGCCACTCAGGCTTCTGGACACGATCGTCGTCGGACTGGGGGTCACGGAGGGATGCGACCTCGACCTTGTTGGCCTCGGCAATCTCGTCCGCGGTGCGGTGGCGGATGAAGACGGGCTTGCCGCGCCACTTGATGATGACCTGCAGGGGAGGGAGTGCCAGATTAGCATTTGCGCGGAGGGGTCGGGTAGAGGGATTGGGGGAGTGAAAAGGCTTACGTTCTTGCCCTCGGGAATGGTGTTGAGGTCGACCTCGACCTTGGCCATGGCCAGAACGTCGGCAGAAGCGGACATGTTGACGAGGAACTCTATGGTGTCACCCACGTCAGCAACTCTGATTCCAATTGCAATCTCCAACTCGTCGTATCGGGGACAGGCAAAGGACAGCCATTGGCAATCAATTGATCACGCTCTCGAATGCTGTCCCGTCGTAATGCATTCCCGATCACATTCTGCTCGTCGCCAATTGATGAAATTCGTTACCTTGAACCGTGCTCTTGGCACCCGCAGCCGTCAGGGCGCCCATAGCACCAACCATAAAGTACGAAAAGAGCTTGTTGCTGCCCTCGGGCTTAGCCGACATGTACTTTCCGAAATCGGGAATCTGAGAGGCCTTGGACGCGCCCTTGAAGGGACTGCTGTAGCTGGCGGCGGCGTCGTCGGAGCGCATGGCGGTGCTGCTCAGGGCGCGGACGGCGGGCACGGCTGGCTTGGCCGCCGAGCGCAGGCACAGGCGAGAAGCAGTCGAGAGAGCAGCCATTGTGTGTATGATGAAGAGAGATCCGAGCCGATTTTCGCAGATGGAGTCGGAGACGACCGAAGGGGCGGAAGGGATGGGGAGGAACGGATTCGGTTGTGAGGTCTTTTGCGTCAAAGTGGTGATGGTGACCTCTGCGTTTTGCCGAAAGTTTTGGGTCCGGGTTGCTGGCCTGAGGCGCCAAGTTTTCCATTTCGCAGCGTAATGTGTGCAAAAGCTGGGAAATTGGGCAACGCTGATTGGCTGGTGGGGTTGCTACCCGGACTCTTCCGTGGAAACTGGCCATATACGGATAGGCAAATAAGCTTGTAAGCATTTCTTCCTCGTCAGCCTCGAGCAGCTCGCAGCTAACCTACAGAGCTGTGATTTGCAACATGGATGATTACAGTCCATGCACGAGCTATTTGACACTTTTATTTCCAGTGAACTGGGTGCTTTTAGCTCCTGGAATTTTGAGGATCTTTTTAGTGGCCAAACAAATGCTTTCTAGCTACCTATCTGCCACTACAGCCGTAATCAACAAACGCCTTAGGCAAGTAACCAAGCTAACAAATGCTCAGACGGTACAGGTATGGGACAAGGTTCAGCACATGAACAGCCAGATGATTCACGACGGGGAAAATATATCCATTTCTTCATCCCAGCTAAATCACACTGCCGCGAACAATCATTACTTTCGCGATTAACTCGCCTTGTCCATTCCAAATGCGCCCTCAAACCGCGCGGCTCCTTTGGGCGACTCATGAACGCGAACCTGCACTCGATTGAAGATGAGGTTCGCAGTCAAACGGAGCGTTCTCAAGTGTAGTATGACGACCCCTTCTCGAAGCTGGAGGAACTACTCTTCTTTCCAGCACATCCCCGAAGAATGTGCAGCACGATAATAGTCCCGATGGACGACATGTCAAACAAACATCTGCAATGTGGAAAGGGTTGACCACCATCACAGCGCGACTTCCTTATTCCCTAGTGTGTGGAAAGAAAAGCCCAACTCTCAAACGAAAATCTGATTTCTAGCCTACGCAACCTAGCAGCGCTCGTTTCCGCGATCTACTCTTCGCCTTTCAAGCCGTGCTCTATCGCGTCCGCAATGTCAACATCCCACGAGCCGCCTACGTCACGAACATCATCATCCCATACATCTTCAGAATCTCTCTCCGCAAATGAAGTGTTGTGGGAAGAGATGTCATCCAATTCCTTGACGTCGTCATCCTCTGCGGGACCTCGACCAGCGCCAAGCTCTACGCCCTTCGGAACCTCAATCTCGATATCGGTGCCTTCAACCTTTTCAATGCCTGATTTATCAAGTTAGTACAGGGTGAAATGCTTGAGCGGGAATCACGAAAACACACCATATACCGGCTCATCACCAAGGAAGCCGATTGGAATTTGATCTCTTTTCCCCGTATTCCTGAAGCTCAAGCGACATCTGCTCGGGAGAAGTCCTTGGTTAGCTAACACAAGAAAGGCATATCACCTTTTCTTCGCGACCGAAACTTACGAAAATGCGACAATGACATCAATGAGACCGCCCCATTTCTTTCGCGTCTGCACACCGTCCCAGCAATACCCGTTGATGCTGACGGTACGGAATCGGTTTTGCCCGTTGGTGCTGACGGCGCAAATGACATTGTCCATTGACTTGAGGGCCTTGACCCTTGGCGTGTACGATTTACCCGCAAACAAATTGCCAGACATGCTTCTCAGCCCGGGAAATGTCGGCGACGTCGCAGCGGCCGTCTTTGGATAGGCCAGCTGGACTGTAAAATTGCGCTTGTGGTACCAGCTTTCGCGTTTCTGATCTTGCTGTGCTTGGGAAAAAAAAAAGCAGAAGAGCCGTCATTAGTGCTGTGAACTGAAGACGAGTTACTGCGGATCTCAACTTACCGCGGCGCTGATGCCTGCAGAGTGCGCCTGGAGGTTCGTCTTTGCGTACCCAGTCACTCTCTGCTTATTGCCCCATCCCGCGGTGACCCAACCATCTTCCTGCGGACCCCAATTCTTCCACTCTGCCTTGGTTGCATCAGACTCGGGCTTTTTCCTGCAGCACGTTTGTCAGAGAAGCCATCGGGCGTGCGACGCTGCGTCTACCTACCTGTCGTTGTAATAGACGATGTTGGTGTCGAGATTACTAAGAAGCTCTGGGGAGCGATTAGGAGTTTTGCACCAGACCGAGTGGAGGAAAGATGTCACCTACTGTTGCAGAGGCCCTGTTGGTCATTCTGCCAGCTCGGCACGCACGTCCTCGCCGTGCCGGTCCCGACGCTTGGGTACAGGCCATAGAAATCAGAACCACCCTCCTCGGACGAGGCAAACGGAAATTCGTCACAGTTGGTGAGAGCTCTTCCAAGCTTCTGATCGCCCCAGGCCGCCTTTCGACGGGATAAGTTGTCGCCCGCGCAGAATCCCAGCCGGGCCGCCGTCTTGGTCGGGCAGCTCTGGCCGCGGCGGCGGCTGGCCCGCTCCCTTTTCGAGTCCCACGTCAGGGTCCAGCTGCTCTTGGTGCCCCTGCTGTTGGCCTGGCCGTTGCGGTTGTTGAGGAACTTTTGCACCGAGCTGCAGATGCCCGGCATCGTCGTGCTGCGGCCTCGCGGCTTCTGCTTCAGCAGCGTGTAGTCGGAAAAGTACGAGACGCAGTTGTAGTAGAGCTTCGGCAGCTTCTCCGGGCACTCGCCTCTGGCGGCGGCGGCGGCGACGGCGCGCTTGGCAATGTCGGCTTCGTGCCGCTTAGAGGCCGTCTGGTTCGCGGACGCCATGTCCATGCTGCTGAGCATGTCCGGGTCGTCCGGGTCAGGCGGTATGGTCGCGGCGGTGCAGCCGTTGAGCCCACCGGTGACGCAGGTAAAGTCACCGAACTTGAAAGTGCCCTCTTCCTTTTTCCCATTGTCGGCCGCCGCTGCCATGGCCGTGTCTTGCCCGTCGCGATAAGTGCCGTTGGCGGTCATGTCGGCGCCCATTTGAAAGACCCCAGGACCGGAAAACTTGGGCAGGTCTCTGCGAACAGGGCCAAACTCCGGTGCAGGTAGCCCAAAGAGCGGCTGCGGTAGCGGTCCGCCCGGAGAGCTGTGCAGCTGGCGCTTCCGAGACGTGTCCGAGGAGGAGACCCGGACAGGTCCATAGATGTCTATGAGCTGCTCCTCAAAGGGATAGTAGGCATCCGTCTTCCAGCTCCCGATGAGAATAGCCTCGACGATGGCTGAGAATCCTACTCTATAGAAGAACTGGATTCCGTATTCGTACGACCAGCCCTTTTCCAGTTGAGCCTTGGCTTTGGCGTAAAACCACAGTGTGGTGTTGACAAACGCCGAGATGTGCGCATCTACGAGAGTTTTCTATTGAACTATTAGCAACCCGAACACCAGACAAAACACATGCAGAAGTGCTGCTCACCTCGAATTTACCAATGCCACCACCAAGCTTGAGACCCAGATTCACCTCTGGCGTGACCAAGACACCAAAACCGACCTTGGCCTCGACTTCGGCCTCGAATACCGGCGACAGACCCTCCTTGTCGCCGTCATTCTTTTCCAGCGAGGTGGAAGCTGTGCTCAGCTTCTTGTCGTCGTTGGGCATGTACAGCTCAATGGGCTTAAACGTATACCGAGCGCCGACCCGCATCGATCCCGCGACGGTCACCTCGCCTCGGATCTGGCCCCAAATGTCCAGGGACGGGCCAATCGCGGCAATGCCCTTGATGGCGAGACCGGGGTACGTGAGCGTGTCGATGATTTTCTTGCGGTCCGACGTGTACTCGAGATGCGCCTCGCCCGCGACGGTGATGCCGGCCTCCATGTACGGATGGGCGCCGACGTACGCATAGGTGTCGATGATCTTGGGCGGGACAATCGTGCCCGAGAAGTAGTAGGCGTACTGCGTGCGCATGTCAAAGTCAAAGTCGGCAGTCACGTCGAGGCCTGCCTGGAACGTGATGCCCGCATCGCTTTCGCATTCGAGCCGACCACTGTACAGCGTCAAGACGGAGTTCCATCCCATGGGCAGGAAACCTTTTTCGTCCTTGACAATGTTGTTTAGTTTCTTCAACCAATCTTTAAAGGCTCCGTACCAGCGGCGCTCCATGGCGTGAGTGGAAACATCGTCAGGCTCTGGGGTAAAGGACCTGCGGCTGGCAATGTGCTCGTCGCGGCCTGCCTTTTCAAGATCGCGCTTCTTGGCATGGTCGACGCGGGCTCTCCATTCATCAAAGCCCAAGTGTCTGGCATAGTCGCGCTTACTGCTCCGCCTCTTTTTGTCTGCCGGCTCATCCGTGACATCATCCCAGTACTCCATCAGGTTGGTAAAGTCGACGCGCATGTTGACCTGCTCATTCTCGGCTCTCTTGATGGCGCCAAAATTGTAGTCAAACTTGAGCTCGTAGATGCCGTTTCTGTTGGCTTCAATCGTCCGCTTGCGGTGAACCCAGGACGGAAGCCGAGGCTGATCCGCGCGTTTCATTGATACGATGCGAGCGAATGGACCCTCGCCAACGTGGTCTGGCAGTCGAATGATTGTGTCTTGGGCACCCTTATAAAAGGTGCGACGGCATGCTCTGGAGTCTGGCGCGTGGTTGCAGTAGACATAAATGGTTTCCGGGGCGTCCTCAAAGACATTGTCCAGAATAGTTTGGTTGGTGGTGAGGAGCGAGCGCTTCTTGAGACCTTGTGGCTCCTCGTCACTGACCACTGTAAAGTCCTTGCCAAAATTGTCATTGAGCGAGCCATCCGGCCCGTTTAGCATGATGAAGCCATATGGATCGTCGCCAGGGTTCTCGTACAAGTTGTCTGGGCTCGTGTCCATGTTATTATTGCCAAAGTCATCAGCAAACTCCCACACATTTTCGGCGCCATCTTCCTTGTGAGCATCCGACCACAGGAAAGACGGATCAACGGGCAATTTCTTCTTGAACGGACTGGGCGGATTGCAGCAGAGCCCATATGCAGGTTCCACCACGTTCATCTGCGGATAAGCTGAACAGTCAATCGCATCCTTCTTGACCCAGTCAATGGAGGTGTGGGGGATCAGAGCGGTCGTGACTTTGATGTCATAGTAAGGGCACTCCTTATTGTTGCAGACAAAGAAGTCCGTGTACGATTTCGAGTACTGCTTAGTTTCCCCTTTCGGAGGATCCAGAAGGGTAATGTCATTGGACCAATAGCAATTTTCCAGAGGATCTTTGAAAGAAAGTTGTGATTTAGCAGCTAGAAAAGATATATAAAAGGGAAAGAAAGGAGCACTTGCCTTTTTTCGGACAACAATATGATCGAAGCGGTTGCCTGAGCTGGTCGGTAGGCTTACAAGTCGCTGTTTAAAGAAGTATTTGGTCAGGGCCTTGAATCAACTCGCCAGCTCAGAAAGTATGCACTCACATCCATCGTCTTTATCCAGCCTCCATGCAACCACTTTGCCCGAATTGCCACAATTCTCGTCCCAATGGCCGCAGTCAGACCACCAACAGTCTTGGAAAAAGTCTGTCGAATCGCAGCACAGCTAATGCCCCCTGATTTTTAGCCAAGAACATGCAGAGAGTATTCATGGAGCAAAATTGAACATGTTTTCTTACCGAGCGACGGCCTTGATAGCAACTGCCCGTTCCTTTGTAGTCAATGTAGCCATCGGTCGCAAGCTGAAACTGCTTCTTGCCGCAAAAGCCCGAACATCCAATCTCGGACCGCTTCGGCGCGCCGATCCATTCGCAATTCTTGGGCATCTGGTCTTCAGGGCAGCAGACGTAGTGAAAGGTGCCCTCTTTGCAGGTTTCCAGAGCCTCGTGCTTGTCGCTGCGGATTTGCCGCGGCGCGTGCGCCATCTCGACTGGCTTGTAGCCGGTGAAGCACGTTGCGCCAAACGTAGAATCTCGGGCGCTTGACGCGCACTTGGAGGCGACGTAGCAGTTTTGGCCTGTATAGGGCGCGAGTTGCTTCACAAGCTCGCCCTTTTCCTTGTCGGTCAAGCGTGTGTCGCCGTGGGCTTTGGACATGTTCTCGTCGCCAAAGAGTCCCGCCATGGCGTCAAAATTGGCATTGTCCAGGTCGACGGACCAAATCATGAGTCCTCTTAGACAGCGAGAAGATTGATACTTTTTTTTATCCTTGAAGCTTTCCGCGTCATCAAAGGATATCCACTGGTTTGATCCGTAGATCATGTACTTGACAGTGGAAGCCTTGTCGTATGTGACTGTGGTGCCCAATTCATTCTTGCGACTTTGAATCTCTGTCCAGAAATTTAGCAGAGTGCTTCAAACCCGTACCGAGTAGTTTCATGAGTAGTTCATGGTCATTTTACATACCAGCGTAGGAAAGAATACCGCCAGTGTCGGTACATGAGCCTGGGAGACTGGGGCCGTCAAACTCGCAATTTGGCGGAGTATGGCAATTGGGGTCTTTGATGTGGAATCCTCGACCATAAAACCCGTAACCCATGACCACTTTGTTGTAGTCAATCTTGTTCCGCCACAGCAGGTCGAGACCATCTTCAATCTCAGTCTTGTTGGTGTGACCCTTGAGGTATGGGCCAGTAAAACGAATCTCCTTATCCCATACGCCATGGATATCATACGTCATCATGTTGAACCAGTCGACATATTTCTCGAGTCGTTTAATGTCAAAGCCACGCATGTACCAATAGCTTGACGGCAGAGTCAGTGTGATTTGCCAGCCAGGATCGACGCTATCAAACATGTCTCGCAATTGAGACATGAAGAGCACGAAATTTGAGAAATCATCAGGGTTTCCGCCTAAAGAGTCTTGTTAGATGTTGCGTTTTCGAGAATAGTGTAGGGCTATATGCGAGCTGCCATACCTCTGTCATCAGCGACGGGGTACTCCCAGTCAATGTCCACGCCATCGAGTGCATACTTTTGCATATACTTGATGAGCGAATTGATAAATTTCTCCTGATTAGGACGTGTAGAGACCATGTCGGAGAAGCGGTGCTCTGTAGGCGGGTCATTGAAGACCCAACCGCCAATGGCGATATTGACACGCAAGCCAGCGTAAATCTTCTTGAGGCGAGATACACGGGCGACGGTCTCCCCAATAGTGTCGGTGATTTCGAGATTAGAATCGATGCCCTCAAAAGCCACGTTGATGTGAGTCAAGACCCCTGCTGGAATGTTTTCAGGCTGCACAGCATCGCACTTTCGCTTGGCACCCTCGGCGTTGTAATATGCGATTCGAACCTTGGACTTCATGGCATCGTCGGTCTCGTCGCACTTTGGGCGACTGAAATTGGAATAAGTAAGAAATCTTGAAGCACGGCCTCAAAGCCACTTACTCAACATCAGGGCAGCCGCCTTTGTTTTGACAGTTGTTGCAAAAATTGGGTTGCGTGCCGCAAAACCCGTATTGACTGGCAGCTGCAAGTTAGTCAAGTTGTGTAAATCTAAACTTGTTTCATGACGTTTGACTTGCCTACAACAAACTCCAAGTGGACAGTCAAACTCATCTTTAGGAGCATATTTGCCGCATTCGGCAACGGCCTTGCAAGTGCCTTGACATCTATCGATCAAGGTTAGATGAATCAATATGATTGGGTCAGGATTGAACATGCCCTTCGCCGCAAAATTCAGGTCCGAAGCCGCATTGGCCTGCTCATTATAAATGAATCAGCATAATTTTTGCAAGACTTTGAGGTTTCAAAGTACAGTCATACCCGAAGGACCACAGCAACCTGAGCGACACTGCTTCAATACGCTGCAGGTGCTGTCCTGCTGCGCCGCTACAGCAGAAAGCAACCCTAGCGCTACAAGAAAGACTAGGAATGCTGTATTCCTGTACATGATGAAAGTTTTGCTCTCTTATCAAAGATGTAATTGAGGAAAGATGTATGGGAGAAGAAGAGCAAAGAAGCCTGGACACGAACCGAACGAAGCCGGCTCAATCCAAGACCGAATATGATGGGATGGGTAAATGCAACTTATGGTGTGTTTCCATGGCACTCATATAATAAGTAGGCGAGAGCTTGGGAGCCTCTGTACTTAGGGACTGACATCTCATGAGCCCCAAGTGCAACATGAAGCACAGTCCCAATCCTCGCAAGGGACCGCATGCACCTCGGCAAGCCCGCTCCTCGTCCGGGCTTTGCAGAAATAGTAAGTCACCGACATTCCATCACAATTTCATGCTGCGTGACTCGGAAATGCAATTTATTAATCTTCATGAACGAAATGGGCGCTGCCATGTTTGTGCATAAGAGCCGACATGAAAGTCGCAAGTGGCCGAGATGGGTAATAAGCCGCTCGTCTGCTCGCGCAACGTGGCGTCGCAGATGACAGTCGGAAATAGCAATATCTTCTCAGGGGTAAATTCAGTATTGATTGAGCAAATTATCACTGCTACACAAAGGCCTCAGCCGTGGTTGGCGCTCGGGAAAGATGCTCTCAGGGCGAGCACAGTGCGAGACACTAGAACGGTACTTGCAGGGTTGGACGGAGGGAGGGCTGAAACTTGGCCGCATGCGCGCTTTGAGTATAAGCTGCATATCGGCGCTGTCCGATTCTGGAGTTGGAACAATGGACAATAAGTGTCCGAGGAGATTTTACGATTCAGGTGTTAGTCTGGATGGGCCACTGTGAAAAAAGAAGTAAATGAGCCAAAACATCATCTTGTAAGAGAATTCGAGAAGAAGTACCAAATGCCATCCTCTCTTGCATTTTGCATCGCACATACAATCTGCTGTTCAAAGTACTAGGCCAAATTCCTCGATACTCTCTTGATAATGCATCTATTCAATGCCGCAGCCGCAGTCTGTCTGCTTGCGACTGCTGGTCATGTCCACTCTCTGCAACTATGGAAGACTCCTGGAGACATTCCAAATACCGTGCCAGCACCTTGCCGCATCGCACTTATAGGAGACATCAAGTGCGGGCCAAGACTCATTCGAAGCAGTGAAATCCAGGCACCGGGAGCACTGGACCAAGAGTTTCTAACTGAGTACTGCAAGAAGGACTGTGGCGATTCTCTCGACGTGAGCAAAGATGACCCCGTTATAGACGATAGATACTGTTCAGCTAACAGTGCTTGCTTTTTTCTAATATTTAGGGCTTTGCAAAAAAAGTCAACGGCAGTTGCGGCTGGAAGTCTTATAGCTGGGGTGACGGTTTTGATCGCTCTGGCAACTCCATCGCGCAGACTCTTGTCTGGAACCACGAGGTTGCCTGCCTCAAAGATGAAAAGACGGCAGACTTTTGCGTGCCGCAGATTGCGGCTCGCAAAGCCGAGAAATGCAGCGATTGCGCGTTGCGATATCTTTCGTCCTTTGTCGACGTGGAAATGGCACCCGATCTTATCAGCGAGAGGCAGTTTAAGAATCTACTAAAAGAGTGCTCGGCCAACCCGTCTAGCTATCCCATTGCAACGAGGACTCTGGGAGAACCTAATGGTCCCACGTAAGTTGTATTTTTTTTTTCATAAATTGTTTTATATTTCTAAGAGGTGTTGTTTGTGATTTAATACAATACAAGTGCAACAACTGCCCCGGCGCCGCACCAAAGGCAGTGCTTGGGCAAAAACTACACAGTCACGGCGGACGATAGCTGCAAATCAATCGCTGCAACAAACAGTCTAGCAATCGACCGTTTTCTCTCCGAGAACAATCTAGACTCCAAATGCGAGACACTAAAAGTTGGCGACAAGGTGTGCATTGGATCTAGCTGCAAACTTCAAGAAGTGAGACGACTCTTTCACTCGGCCCCCCTTCCTGAAATGCTCTAACATGGGGAAATTCAAGGTCAAAGGAAATCAAACTTGCAAAGATATCATGCAAGGTCAAAAGTTTACCATTGTGGAACTCCGTGCTTGGAATCCAGTTCTCTATTCCGACTGCGGCAACTTGGACACCCTCATTGGCCACTCCATCTGCATTTCGTGAGTCTTTCAAAGGCAAATCCGTTCTTCTCATCCCACAAAAAAAAGTCTAATAATGAGATACAACAGACCTCCCGGAACCGATCATTACGACGTAAACGGCACCGTCACGTGGAGCACCGGACCGACCAGGCCACCTACGGGCACATGGGCGCCGCTGCCCACGACCGGTCGACCGGCTGGCAGCGAAACGATTCCCGAAATCATCACAGACGCGCCTACGCAGACTGCTTCGGGCAACGCGACGGCAACGTCTGAGTGGAATCAGGTCGTCACCAACTGCCCCGTGTCGGACGACGTTGTCGAGGCTGGCTTTGACTGGGACATGCTCTCGGACGAGTGCTCGGAGATGCTGGAGCCCTACTGCACCCAGCCTCTGCCGGGAAGCACCTATCCCGCAAGCACGACATTTCCGAGCAGCTGTCTTCCTAGTGCGATCCTGGGTCTTGGGAATGGGACAGATGTGGCGGAAGCTGCGGGCAACGCGACACTGGCAAGGAGGAAGTACTAAGTAATACTTTCGGTCGCGAATCTCGTATCCTTCGCAGACATGAATTCATCAGTCGTCGATAGCTCATGGTAGTTATGAGATTATTATTATTATCGAAATACTCAGTGCGTATCAACGATTGGTTATTTCCGCAATTGCTGCGCGAATCTTGCATTCGCAGCGCCACTGTACTCTCTCTAGCAGGCTGAGCCATACTCGGATTCCGTCTCCCACTCGGCATCAGAACCTTCTTTAGCAGGCTTATCCTTTGGCGGGTCCTTTAACAGTGCAATCAGTCTCCCCTCATCCGCGGCATCGCGCATGCTATATCCATCGGACCACATGCCCGTCATCCCCTCGAGCTCTTCCGGCTCCAGCCTGCTGGCCAGCAAGAGCTTGCCATGGTGATCAAACCACAAAACCTTGACAAATCCGCCGCGGACGCTCTCCACGTCTGCAACGTACACCAGCGCCTCCATGCGTTTGGAGAGCGAGACCAAGTCTTGACCAATGCCTCTGCGAAGCGCGGCATAGCCGTCGAACAAGGCAGGAAGGCGCTCAACTATCCGTTCTGCAAGCGCATTAATGTCGCCGTTGATGTTGTATACGTCGGGATCGCTCAATACCATCTCCGTCTCGACAGCGGCGCCGCCTACTTCAGACCGTCGTTCCAGATCGCAATACTCTTGGTGAAGAGATTCCTCGTAGCATGCTGCGACCCAGATTGGATTCGCAGGGCTACCGAACCGCGACAAATTTCTCTCCCGTATAGTCTGGAAAGGCTTGAGCACACGGTCAATGTTGGCTTGTGTCAGACGCGACCGGATGCCCTCATCTATGCCGCCTGTCAAGTCGCCTGTTAAGACGACTGCTGCCTTGCCATGGTACGGCTAAATGTCACAGTAAAAACTTAGTCCCACACACATGTGATGATACTGTGGCAAAGTACTGGGCCCTACCTTGCGAGTTCTGTGTGAGAGATCGAGGTACTCCATCACAAGTCGACGCCACTGCGCTCCGTCTTGCTCTCGCGGCAAATCATAGTTCCAGTTCTCCTAGAAGCCAACGTTAGACCGCACTCACGGTCAATACTGTAGAAGAAAAGAGAGGTTGGGTGACTTTACCAAAGCATAATGGTCGAATGCTATCACGCCGTATCTAGCGGACATGGCCAACTCTTCGCCAAGTGACTTTTCCCGCATTGTTCCAGCTTCCCGCACTTGTTGTGTCTGAGTGAAAGGCGCCCTTGCCCGCTTTGATCGGGCAAACTAATCCTCTCAAAATGGAGGGGGGGGGGTTTTGCCTGCAGTGTGGTGGGGAACTGCTGATGGCGTCGGATACTTTTTTTTCTTCGCAGAGGAACTTATTGAATGCTGTGTGACGCGAGCCAGGAATTTGTAGACAAACCCGAATGCGTGAGGGACGGAACGGAAGCTCCTGTGGCGCTGTGCGGCACATACCCAACTTGGTAATGACCAGAAGTCAAGTTGCATGTACACATGACAGATCCCATGACCAGTCGACGAGAGAGAGGTACTTGGAGAAGAACCAATGGAGAAGTCGAGCTGGTTCAATTGCCAAAATAATCGGATGACTGGTATCCGTACTCATCATCACTCTATGCACCAAATCCCAGAATAGACACTACCCTGGCATCAGCTGTGCCTAATACAGAGCCACTGAGCTCGCTCTTTGTTGCCTCGTCATATTTTGTCGCGACATGTACCCCGCACTCTTTTCCCCGACAATTTGATGAAAAATAGTTCAAGGTCGGGAATTGGCCGGAGAGTTGTCATTGCAGCCCAAAGCAAAGAGACCAAAGTAGACGGCTTAATGTCTCAGGTTGGCAGTGCATTCTTTGCCCCAAGGTTCTTCATGACGGAGCCTTGCCTGGCATAACACGAGAACTATTTTATTTCAAAAATCATGTTCAAATGCTACCTTTACCGAAAGGAAGTCGCGACGCCTGCATATGCGTGCTCACAAAATACTACGCCTTGAACCACATGCCGTGTTATGCTTGAGACGGCGCTTTCTTGCACCATGTGTCGTGGTAGCTTCAGAATGCTCCATGACAAAGGCAATCTTGTACACCTGCATTTGGTAGAGAGTAGGCTTTCATATAATTTATGACATTCAACTACCAAAAAAAAAAAAAAGAATGCGACGTATGTTTTTTTGAATAGATGAATTCGGGTTTAGCCTAACTCGAGCTGAGGAATTTGATCAGAGTCACCATGCTCCCATGCCATGCAAGATCGCTACCACACCAGCGAGCGGGTCATGATTCCTACTTGGCAAAAAGGCGCACTTGACAAGTCAGATCATGATTATATCTATTTCCTTTTTTCTTGTTGACGAACGCCCAGGGGAGCCTGAAATTTTGCCCGAGGGCGAAGACGCAACTGGGCTCTGTTAGCGCCAAACAGACTGAGACTTGTCCTTCATCGTGCAGTTATAAAAGAAAGTCATTGGTGTCTGCCTTGTTCGATCCAGACTTATTCAGTTGATCACGCCACTCAAGACAGCCAGCCCGGCCGGCACGGCTGCTGTTGGCTCTGCACGGCAGGCAACAGTATCCCATGAAGAGCACCTTTTTGAATACATGATCAAATTTATCAGAGTGACTTGATGATTCACGTCAGTTTCACCACTGATCCTAACATCAAGTGCAGTCCCAGCCAACAAAACAGGACGCGGGAAATACGCATCGAGCCTCATGAGAGTCCGCAGCCTCACCACCATGAGACAGACCTAAAAGTCAAATACTAGGCGCAAATAGGAAGGGAAAAAATCGCGTTTCCCAGCTTGGGCTGAATCAGGCTGCAGCACATTCGGAAACTTTATCGCACTATACGGGCATTTGGCGCGCTTCAGTAGAGCCGGCTGAGGGTCGACTATTTGAACTCGACTTACACCACCACATCATAAACTAGTCTTGCTTATCATCACGCGCCCGGTCTGCACACCGCTTATAAGTAGAATGAGGCTATTGCAAGGCTGAGTCCCGTAGATGGAGTCACTGTAGTTTTCGGGATAGAAAATTTGATTTACACTCGTGATTGCATAAAATGTCTAAAAAAAAAGTTGATGTAACGTGTGTAGTTCGCCCAGCCAGCCCGCTTCGACCGCACTTTTCCATCTGGCACGGGCACTGGGCCTGCAGCGACCGCACACTAAGATCCGGTAGAATTTGGAAGAAGAAAAAAGATTAAAGCGTAGCAAGCTCTCATCTTGTGTTGAATCGTAAACGGAACACCGGAAGCTGAACCTCCCAATCTCAGCCATGGCCGTCGCTTATGGCTCGTTATACCGTCAATGATGGCCAGCTTTTGGGCCGGCTTCCACCTTCCTACCCATCAGCTAATACCAGTAATGTCCACCTTTGCAATCTCCATCACTCGAGTCAGGTCTAGGCCAGGTAGAACAGGAGTCATCGCCACTGCCAGAAGGCGGCACGGGCAGAGGATTCGCCAGGCCAAGCTGAAGAAAGGCGGCAATGAGGGTAAATGTATTGAGACGCATGATGAATGGTGAGAAATTTTCGAGGAAGAGATTCGCCGAGTTTGAAGAAAATGTTGTTTGAGATGAATGTTTGTTGAACGCTCGGAATATAGAATATGAGAGATTGTCCCCAAGAACATCGCAGCTGATTTTAGCATGGTGGTGGCCAACTACATATATATATCAACTTGAAGGACATATCAAGTGACCAATGTGATTGACTCTGAGTGGTCCACGTTCTACCACTTGTCGGAGAATAAAATCCTTTCTAGCTTCCCGCGACACAGACAGCCCGCTAGGTCCCAGCTGCGCCTCTACCAAGACAGCCTTATACAGCCTCATGCAGCCTGACTAGAACTTTGGGGGCTCAACCGTGAGCCCAAAACACTGTTTCAACCTCATCGGGCAAGCCCTACATCAATGATGGAAAGATGGATGGTATCGAGCAGTCCTCCCCGTCGCATCTCTGCCTCCATTTTCCTCCATTCTCCTCCCAACTACATGGGTTGCCACCTCCAACCGCGTAGCCTATGAACATGTACCATGTAATGAATTTCTTTGGAAAAGAAAAATTGATTACTCGATTAGTGAGCTCTTCTTTTCTATTCTTTGTTCATTGCTTCCGCAATACTGACAGCATAGCCTCCGACCTCGGCTCGGTCGTATAGTAAACTAACGAGTAGTGATGCTCCGGTGGAAGAACTTGACTCGTTGGTTGAAACCAAGCAAAACCATTACACAAGGCGTATCAGAAGACTATTTCTTCTGAATTTCATCTTTCTTGTCACTTCGGCAGGCTGTCTACTCCTGTCTGCACTCTTCATCTATGCTGCCCCACCGATTGACGGAAGTAGAATACTGCAAGAAAAGACATTTTACTGTATGTATTCCCAAAACATATAACCTGATGACCAGGACGAAAACATCTTGCTAGATATCAAGACTAATGCGAGATATCAGCACCACCCTTGAATACGCTGAAACCGGCCTGGTACGTCTCTAAAGTAGTTACAAAACACCTCAGCTCCAATGCATCGGTACTTCGGCAGGACCCCAGCCTGCAGGTGGATTCAGCATGGGCAAGATTTGCAGATATGGCTGTCATCGGTTTGACCGGGGAGCAGGTCACCAAGCTTGGCAAGGACCCTGCCCTGACAGCCAAGGCGCCTCCCAGCTGGGGCGCGGGCAACGAGACCTACCTAGCACAGCTCGACGCCGTCCATCTCGCGCACTGCCTCGACTCTATGCGAAAGAGCCTTTATTACAACTTTCACTACTACTATCCCGACGGCACATCAGACGTCTACGCTGCGCATCTGATGCACTGCCAGGAAGCGCTCGCCAAGTGGCTCATGTGCCAACCGAGCATGGAGCTGCTCACGTTTAATTGGGTGCAAGGCCATGATGGGCCGTTTCCAGACTTTGACATGACGCGAAAGTGCTGGGACTATGACCAGCTGTTGGAGTGGCAGGACAAGCATAGAGTGCAGACCATTAATACGGCCGAGTGGAGAGCTATGAGGGCGCCCAAAGGTGCCAAGTGGAAGCCATCGCCGATTCTGTACCAGGAATCTCTCAGCCGTGCCCCTTTTCATGGATAGAAATCGAACAGAATATCGTTACGTCTGATAATAGTATTCTTGGATCACACACTATGTCTACAATATATACATACATTCGCGATAACGAGACGATCCGCAACAAGACCATGCAGCGCTGTACAGTTGTGTAAGCACTACCTTTCAGGTGCTAATATAGACGTGATTTTCCAATATACTCTCCTCTCTCGGCACGTGGCATACCGGCACTTGAGCGGCAATTACTGTCTCAACAAAGAATTGTTCCTACATAAACGGGGGGTTTATCGGCGAGCGAGAAGCCAAAAAGAGTAGATGCCGATGCTTGTAATCTGGGCCCCTGCATGGACAGTGCCCGGGCATCGGGCGCACTGTACGTGGGGTACTTTGATCATCAGCCCACCTTCACTTACACGAGAGCCCTGGTGCAACCACACCTCAAAGCATGGGATCCTATATTGAAGCTGTCGTTTTCATTTGATACTACCCAATTATTGATGTTCGGATATTGCAGTATGCCTTTGTGGCTGCTTTAGCGTATTCCCAGCCTGCCATCAGGGAAAACAATACAGCACGTGGGAATGATCCTTTTTTAATGGATTGGGTTGTAATTGGCTATATGAACGAAGCAGCTCGGGTGAAGCCAGATCGAGCACATACCCGACGGGAGATTCCTTCTCATTTGTCACTTACACAGCTCTGCCCGAAATTTTTCACCGAAGCCACAATGCATAGACAGGTCTCCTACGCATCCGCTATAGGTATATACATGGCCCCCTTGGATTCGGGACAGGTACATCCCTTTCCGCATTTCAGCATTCGGTAAAGCGATTCTGCAAATCACTTGGCACCTTGTGTGAAAAACGCGTCTTTCGCGAATCCTTGAAGAGAATGCGCATTGCTACCATTGCCGTCGCCCTAACTGCCGTCTCGGCGGCCACCGCGTACCAACATCCCAGCAAGGTCCGTCGCGGCGAGACTCCCGACGGCAAAGTCGCGCCCGGCACCACGGACCAGTGCACATACTACTTTACCACAGCGTCCAAGGACGACACCTGCAGCTTCATCGAAGGCTATTGGGGCATCAGCCACAAGAACTTTGTCGAATGGGTACGGAAAACCTCTTCCCCTCTCCCCCCTCTCCCCCCTTCCCCAACGGGCAACCCTGTTCTTTCAAAAAAAAAAAGCTTTCCCACAAAACAAACTAACGGCGGTGGTTGTTGTTTGTGTGTTTTAGAATCCCGCCGTCAAGGATGACTGCTCCGGCATCCAGATTGGCTATTCCTACTGCGTCGACGTCAACCACGGCGGAACCATTACCTCGCCGCCAACGTCGACGCTCCCGCCCGTGCCATCACCTACACTCGACGGCATCGCCAAGGACTGCGACAAGTACCACCTGATTGTCAAGGGCGACACGTGCGCCGGCGTCACGCAAAAGTACGGCATCTCCATGGACCAGCTCGTCGCGTGGAACAAGGCCGTCGACAAGGACTGCAACGGCTTCTGGGCCGCGTACTACATTTGCGTGCACGTCGTCGGCGCGGGCACCACATCGCCCGGGACCCCGACGCCCACCAGCGACCCGGTGCCGTCACCGCATCAGACGGGCATTGCTAAAGAGTGCGACAAGTTTTACCTAGTCACCAAGGGGGACACGTGCGACGGTGTGACGGCCAAGTTTGGCATCTCCAAGGCTCAGCTCATCCAGTGGAACACGGCGATTGACAAGG